GCTTCTTCTTTCCACACCAGGCGTACAGGAAGTTCTTGATGTCCGCCATTGGTGGACCGACGGAGGGAGGAGCTTCCTCCTCTGTACACGGGTTAATCTGAGAAATAAAAAATAAAACTCCCATCAGTTAACGAGTAAACTTGGATCACAAGTTAAATTCAGTGACCTGATCCAACCCAGTGCTGCTCAATATATTAACTCCTATTGTTTTAGTGCTGATGGAAGTTTAACTTTACTTTAGTTACAGTAAATATAAACTGGCATTGAGTTCCCTGAAAATGGAGGGACTAAAATAAAAAGTCTTAACCAAACTCCATTCATAAATCAGGGCATTTTCTGCTTTGCTATCCAAGGGAACAAACTCGACTGTAATGTCGTGACTTTAGACCTTTTAATGAATAAATAAAACGTTCCTTTGTATTCGGGGTGGAACTGGTGGCCGACAGAGCAAACAGCAGCAGGTTATTTCACCAGTGAACTACTGATTCGTTGAAGGTTTACGTTGTGTCAGATTAAGATACTCACTTTAAATTACGAGGTTTTTCAATGGAGTTTGGTTTTCAGGTCTAAACGACATTAAACTCTAACACTGGCATCCTTTCAGAAATAAAGTTATATATATATAAACTACTTCTTCTTCTTCTTCTTCTTCTTCTGTCACTCTACATTCTGTACATCGCCACTGTAGCTAACGTTAGCTTGCTGCTAGCTAGCGGTGCACTCTTTGCTCAGCCGCCATTTTGCAGTGAATTAATAAACTCATAAACCAACAATGTAATAAAGTAAACACATTTTTATTTATTCTCTTTATTAACTCACCCACAGTCCGTCAGGGTGAACACCAGCACAGCCGCTGCAGACACTCTCATTTCCGTGATGGTCGCTAAAGAAGAAGCTGTTCCCGGTAACAGCGCCGCCGCTGGACGGGAGTGGAACTGCTCATTATAATAATACACACACACACACATTATAATAATACACACACACACACACATTATAATAATACACACACACACACACATTATAATAATACACACACACACACACATTATAATAATACACAAACACAATTATAATAATACACAAACACACATTATAATAATACACACTCATTATAATAATACACACTCATTATAATAATACACACTCATTATAATACACACTAATTATAATACACACTAATTATAATAATACACACACATTATAATAATACACACACACACTCATTATAATAATACACACTCATTATAATACACACTCATTATAATAATACACACTCATTATAATAATACACACTCATTATAATAATACACACATTATAATAATACACACTCATTATAATAATACACACTCATTATAATAATACACACTCATTATAATAATACACACACTTATAATAATACACACACTCATTATAATAATACACACTCATATTATAATACACACTCATTATAATAATACACACACATTATAATACACACACATTATAATAATACACACATTATAATAATACACACACATTATAATAAAACACACTAATTATAATGTTACACACTCATTATAATAATACACACACATTATAATAATACACACACACTCATTATAATAATACACACTCATTATAATAATACACACACACACATTATAATAATACACACTCATTATAATAATACACACACACTCATTATAATAATACACACTAATTATAATAATACACACACACTCATTATAATAATACACACTCATTATAATAATACACACACATTATAATAATACACACTCATTATAATACACACACATTATAATAATACACACATTATAATAATACACACTCATTATAATACACACACATTATAATAATACACACATTATAATAATACACACACATTATAATAAAACACACTAATTATAATGTTACACACTCATTATAATAATACACACTCATTATAATAATACACACTCATTATAATAATACACACACACACATTATAATAATACACACACACTCATTATAATAATACACACTCATTATAATAATACACACACACTCATTATAATAATACACACACACTCATTATAATAATACACACACACTCATTATAATAATACACACACACACATTATAATAATACACACACATTATAATAATACACACACACTCATTATAATAATACACACACACACTAATTATAATAATACACACACACTCATTATAATAATACACACTCATTATAATGTTACACACTCATTATAATGATACACTCACTATCTTATCTCACTATATTCACTTATTATCTCATTATAATCACTTATTATCTCATTATAATCACTTATTATCTCATTATAATCACTTATTATCTCATTATATTCACTTTGTGATTCGATCATTCAGGTTAATATTATTATTTTGAGATAATAAGTCAAAATATCAAGAAAGTTTCTCATTATAATAACAGATTATTTTCTGTCACATTGGCATTTTCCTTTTTACAGCACTTTGTAACATTGTTAAGAGAAGGGTTTTATATATTCAGTTATTATTATTATTATTATTATTATTATTATTATTATTATTATTATTAATTACCCAGCTACTACACCAGTAAAACAATTTTTAACTAAAAAAATATTTTCTATATATAATTAAAATATTATTATTATAATAATTTAAAATTATTATAATATATTATGATTATTTTTTATTATAATATATTATGATTATTTTTAATGAAAAAAATACTATTTTTAATAATAATATTTTAATTAATATATAGAATATATAAATAATATATTTATAATAATTTAAAAATATTATAATAATAATAATTTTAAAGCAGCATAATATAATATGATTAATCTGGCTGTTTGGATCAGCTCGCAGTCTGCTGCTCTTTTATCTGTGTTTCCTTTTCTGGTGACAGTAATCTGATTCTGTTATCGGTGATACGTGTTTCAGCAATGAAGCCGAAAACAGTTCAGTTTGTATAACACCGATTCCTAACAGACGTTATCTCAGGACAAACAGAGCAGGTCTAGACTGAACTCCTTCTAACATACAGAGACCCAACAGTTCCCACCATGAGCAAGACCTTGGAGACAGCGGCACACAGATTCAAACAGAATCAGAGGAGATTAAAGGAGTTAGTTTATCAGCCACAACCTCCTGATCCGGCTGAGTTCTAGATTTAGAGGCTAAAACTTTGGTACGTTTACTAAAGTAACATTTTGAATATAATTTTAATAATTTTATATATAACTCTATTACATCATGTATGTTTCTATTTTATTTTGTTATGTGTAGACCTACCTTATGGTACATACAGTATCATATATATATATATGTATTATAAGTGTTTATGACTGTGTGTGGTGGACCTCAGGAAGAATAGCTGATGCTTGTGCTGGTGCTAATGGGGATCCTAATAAACAAACAAACAAACAAACAAACAAACAAACAAACAAACAAACAAACAAACAAACAAACAAACTGTATCTTATCTGAAGGAGCTGCTGGCTGCTTTCTATTGTCCCATTCTAGCACTCGTCCTCCTGTGTCTCTGTGTGTGTGTAGGAAGGTTTTAGCTGCAGTATTACAGACTAACTGTGTGAAAACATCCTGAACACAATAAAGTGATCTCTGATTCTTCAGCTGATATAAAACCTGTAAAATGTGCGACTGTCGGGTTAAAGTCCGTCTGAAACACACACAGTGTCTCAGACAGTCGCTGTTGTTGAAGTGTGAACTCAGAGTTGAGAAATGCAGCTCGAGGATCCAGCCAGGTGTGTGTGTGTGTGTGTGTGTGTGTGTGTGTGTGTGTGTGTGTGTCCAGGGTGTGGCGTTGACACGGTAACAGGAACGAGCCGGGCGTGGCTGTGTGTGTGTGTGTGTGTGTGTGTGTGTGTGTGTGATGGCCTGCGGCGGTGTATTTGTGCAGATTAGCGGTGGGGAAAGTGTGTGTGTGTGTGTGTGTAACCAGGTATTGTCAGGGTGTGTGTGATGGATCATAATGTGTGTCTGAGGTTCAGGGTGTGTCTGGCTGTCATAACTTCAGCCTCAGGACACAGTTTACAAATGGAAACAATCCTCAGCAACCAGAATCCCTCCTGCAGGCGGCGAGTTACCAACAAACACAATCAGCACTCTCAGTTCACAGTTAAAGGAGTCTGATTGTCCCTGTGGCTGCAGCTCCAATACGGCAGGATACAAACAGCAGGGGGAAGGAAACACATAACAAAGTGAAATCAGTAAAAAGAAAAATTACAAAATGACAGTAAAATAAAGTTAAATACAGTAAAAATACAGAAAAATAGAGTAAAATATAGTAAAAGTGTTCACCTAATGAGAGAAGGATGAAAACAAAACCCTCATAAAGAATAAAATGATAATAAAAACAATAAAAAGAAACAAGTAGATACTATTATTATTATATTATAGAAACTATATAGAGTATATATAACCCAGCTGAGCTGATGAAGACCCTGTGGGGGGGGGGTTTGGGGGGGAGTTGTTTGTTCTTCTCTTTTTGTCCAGATGTTCACATATCCACTTCCTGTCTGCTGGTTAGCTTAGCTTAGCATAAAGACTGGAAGCTCTGAATATTTGATTTCTTTTATACTTTAAAGCCTTTATGAACAGCTGTTATGCTGTTATTGTGAATGTGTTGTTGGTTTATTTAACTTATTATTTGAACAATGTATTTCACCCTCTTTATAACACCAAATAAAGATGAATCACTACAGATAATGCTGATTTTATTGTGTTATTGGTGCCATTCAGTCTCAATCAGATTCTCAATTAGAATATTTTCCATTTCTGGAACAGAGCGTGTATTCACTCCATCACATTTGTTCATATCTGACTTGTGAAACGTCTTTGTGTCATGAAAATGTAAAAAACTGTTGCCAGCGAAGGTCCAGAACAACGCCCCAGCACGCACACACTCAGTCATATCCTCTGACTGTGTGTGTGCGTGAATCACATGTGAGTATGTGCAGCGTGTTCAGACCTGCAGCAGGAGGGAGAGCCGTTAAAAGGCGACGGTTTCAGGAGCTGCAGGAGTTTTTTTGATCTGATTTGAGAGGATTCATCATGAGGATCAGCTGGATATCACTCTACGGGGTTCTGACTGCACTTTGTGCCGTCCAGGCAACCTACACACACTACGGTGAGTCCCTGAACGCCACGTTACTGAAAGAGGACAGCATCTTTAAACTGCTGCCACAATTTATTCTTCACCTGAGAACTTTCTCTCTGCTTTTATTTATAAATCTCATTATTATTTTAGAGTTGAGACTGTTTTAATTCAAATCCTCCATCATGATTAAAGACGAGTGCGTTAGGGGAAAACTGAATATCATCTTTAATAATAACTGTAATGTAATAAGTTATTTTAACTTAAAGTGTTTAAAGTGTTTAAAGTGTTCAAACGGATTACAGCTACAACAAGTTTTTATCAATCTTCATCAACGATGTTTCTTAACTTACACAATTGACTCAGTTTTACTTTTAACTTTCAGTTTCACCAATAATTGGAGTTAAATCAGCTGATTTTACAGTATAAGTCAGATCTGTTATAGAACTATATTTTGGGAGAATTAAAGGCTGTTTTCAGTCTTTATTGGAAACAGTAGATTAAAATGAATCTACTTATTAAAGGTCCACTTACTGGCTGTTTCCAGAACTTTCTATCACATTTGAACTGTTTTCAAACTGGATTTTTATTCATTCATTACTTTTAGCTTTTAGCTCATTATTTTAAATGTTTATTAATTCCTTGAAGGAATCTACAGTGTTTAAACCACAACGTTACCCAGACTCGTCGCTTCCATCGAGGTCATGTCTGGTATTTTTCTGGTCTTTTAAAAAAAATTGTTTCCTAAAATATTCTCTGAATAGCTGCGTGTTTGACTCTTTACATTATGTAACAAACAAGTGTTGACTTGTAATTTTCCAGCACGTCTTTCTTCTCATGTATTGCTCATGCCAGTTTTGGTCTCCGTAGTGACCATCACATTTGGTGATGGGCGCCGGAGGCTGCAGCACCGACTGAAATCTGGAATCATGAAAACAATTAGTGCATAAAAAGATTTAAAGTTAAAGACTTTGTCCTTTTTTACAGGGATTCACAGAGTTAACTGGTTTTATTGGTTAATAGCTGTTAAATGCTACAAATGATCATAAGTCATTCAAATTAATGCAAAACCATGAATGTCATACTTTTAGCATTTAACATTTAGCATTTAGCATGATGTCCCTGCCTGAATACCCAACACACAAAATTGCAAATCAACAGAAAGCTAAAATATAATTTCCATGTCTGACTTTATGTAAGTGATTACTGTAACTTTCACAATGCACAGATTTAATCTATATTGAATCTATTTAAGCAACCTCATTAGAAGTTATGGATAAAGAGTTTATATACAGTCAGTAGATATTATCTATAACGTACACACATATTAGTTCTCTTCAGTATATCTAAATACCCCAGTGGGGTAAAAGTACTCGAGGGGAGGCATTTAATAAATACAGAATATTATTATTTTGCAGTTTATTTCTAACCAGAAAGTCAAAATTAAATATGATGTAACTTTAAAACTGCTGAATTCATTGCACAAAATAGTATTATATAACTTATTAATGAATGTTACTGTAAATAGTTTTGGTATATATTGTTTTACAGTACACTGTAAAGCCTAACAGCACATATAAGAAAAGTTAATTTAATCCTTCAATCTCATGAATTAAATCCAACTCAAAAATGAATTGTTTAAGTAATAATTCTTCTGAATGCAGTATTTTAAATATTGCTGATATAATTCCAGTTTGTTTTATTGACTCATTTTCTTTAAAATTATTTTAGATCATTTGGATTTATTCATTTTTATTTTAATTTCAGTGTATAAATCATAATAAGTGCAAGTTCTTAATGAGCCTGCAAAATGTAAAGATTTGATGTTTGTCACATAAAAAAGCAACTACAACAGAAACAATGATATCAGCTGATTATTGATTCATTGAAAGTTGACAGGTAAGAAAACTGAGTTAATTCAACAGAAGTGGAAACATTTGTATAAAGAAGCATTTAAGTTACTTTAATCAGATACATGATGTGAACACATTTTAAATTAGTTTGGAGAAATGCTGCATACTAACTGAATAGAATTGATACAATTACCTTAATTACTTACTACTACCTACTTAATTTACCCAAGTTACCTTAACGATCAACACTTTGTTATTTCAACTCAAATCAAATATCTTTTTCATTCTTAAATAGTTAATAAACTTAAATGGTTGAAGGCGATCATCTTCCTCTGGCAGCCTCAGTTGAGCTGACTCATCATTATTTCTTTATGTTGTATTGTTTTATTATTATTACTGTATATGTTTAGTCATCACTCCTCTCAGACAGACTCCTGTCAGGAACCGTCCTATAAAAGTCGTAATAGCTGAGCAGAGCTGCCGGCGGCGCTCAGGTAAACATTAACTCTGATCACAGAGTGAGTCACTGAGGAGGTCTGAGGAGTGATCTGAGGTGAACCTCGTCACGACAGCAGAACAAACAGACGCACCTTAAACTCACCTCAGTGTTTACACAAGTCTGTGTGGAGAAATAACTCAGAACCTTCACACCAAAGTCCATTCAAAATCCTGTGGATTTAACTGCAACACAAACACATTTAGAAAGGTTTAAAACTACAACAACATCCCTTTAAAGGTACAATACATCACTTCTGCCCCTAGGGGATCCAAAACAGACCGCTGATCAAAACTGGTAAAAACACTGAATAAAGCAATTCCACCTTAAAAATCACTGCTTCTACCTCATGAAGTTTTATATCATAATTTAGACTTTTATCTCTTAATTTTTACCTTTTATCTCATAGTTATTCAATTATATTCAGACAAAAGTGCACAAAGTTTTCTTGCAGGGGCATTATTGACCTTATACATTAATTTTAAATAACTCCACACTAGAACTGATTTGGTTAATCAACATTTATGTCTTTAATATTTTGTTATTCCAGTGTTTAAAATTTAACTGTTTCAGCTCAACAAAATTAACACAACCGTTTGCATTGACAAAAAAAGTCTGCTGTTTAAAGTTCAAGGTTAAATGTAAAAATAATAACTATTTATATATATTCTTAGCTAGCTAGTTATCAAGTTTTCTAACATTAGCTATCAAATGTAACTAGCTACCTAATGATTAAGTTAGATAACATTGTCTCTGTAGCAAAACGATAGCTAACTAGCTGCCTAACAATTGATGTATATTAGCTAGCTAACTAAGCTCAGCTAAACCAGACCTTAAACTGTGATAATTAAATGTTCATAAGATATAAATTTATGGCTAGAACCGTGGTTTACTTTCCTGTACTTAGATATGCTATGTGCTAGGCTAATGTATGTTGAAAAGACAACAAAGTTGCAGGTTTTAGGAGACTCAGACTGTCTTTACAGTGCGGAGGTCAATTCCCTACCTAACAGCAGTAACAAGTATCAGCTTGTTGAAACATAATCAGACTTTAGGATGACGCTTTTATGTCTCACTGCTGGATGTTGGTGTCTGTCAGAGTGATGATCTCTCCTCAGGCGGGGCGGTGGTTGGTTTTGGGTGGGACTCGGTGGACTTTGAGGATTTGTCTGCAGGGCTTCAGGCCGGGAGTGGCAGCTCTCGCTGGGATTTCTGAACAAACCACAGAACATACAAGGAGCTTCACACTCTGTAAACAGTTCTAATGCAGGTTAAAGCTCAGTGAAAAGAACTGATTTTATCTCCACAGTCGGTCGTCAGATTCCCATTAAATGTAATAGAGAAGATGATTCCTAAAGATATGAACATTTTCTTAAAACACCATCAGTGAAAACAATTAAAAAACTAATACAAAGAAATGTTGCTTTTATTTCCTGTTCCTCCTGCAGCGACGTTGCAATGCAGCTGCAACGGGAGATCTCGGTACTGCCTTCGGGACGCCTTGGGCCTGCACTGCGTCGACTGTCAGGGAAACACCGAGGGCCGCCACTGCGAGCGCTGCAAGGACGGCTTTTACCTGCAGGGGGCGGGACTGAGCTGCACACCCTGCAGCTGCAACCTCATCGGTGAGAAACAACCACAACTTATTACTTTCTCTCAAACGTTCTGAGAAACAACTGCTAACGTTGGACTTGTTTCTGTCTGTCCAGGTTCTGTCGGTGCCACATGTGACAGCAGGGGGCGCTGCAGCTGTAAAGAAGGTGTCACAGGAGGGAAATGCGACCGCTGCCCAGACGGACCGATCGGACCAAACGGCTGCTCACAAAGGTAAGGAAACACATTTACACATTTATATCTTTAATGTTGAATCCTGAAAGAAACCAGTTCAAGAGACAATTCGGTGGAAAAGGAGTCCTGCTGGCCCCAATAGTTGCAATGCAGTATTTTTTCACAATTCATTTGACCTCCGCCCAGTATCTAAAGCACCAAATTACAACAGCTGTTATCCCAGGACACTTTTCAAATAGAGCATGTCCAGACTGTACACAATATTTTTTGAGCTTGACAGCTAGCCAGCTGTATTCAGTGAGTTGCAATCTGCAACTTCACCACTAGATAGCCCCAAATCCTACACACTGGTCCTTTAATCTGTGTTTTTTGCCAGTTTTAACTTCCTGTTGCTTTTTGTGTTTTCCAGACGTCAGCCCAGAGAAGATTCTGGGAGTTTGACCCTACCGTGTTTCTGTTACGGCCACAGCAGCCAGTGTTCTGCACAGTCCGGTTACTCCGTCCACAGCATCACCTCCACCTTCACCGATGGTAACCTTTCACCTCTTCACAATAAAAGACAACCGCAGTAGTTAGCTGAGGAGTTCAATTTCAAAATAAAAGCCCCAGAGTTCAGCAGTCGTGTCTTTGTGTTTTCAGGTCCAGATGGTTGGAAGACGGCGACGGCGCAGGGCGTCACTCCCGATGACGTCCACTTCCGCTGGTCACCAAAACACCAGGACCTGGAGGTGATCTCCAAAAACAGCCTGCCGGTTTACCTGTACGCCCCAGGTGACAACAAACCCCACCTCCTTCATCCTGCTTCTATATCTGCTCCACCTCTTCTTTTTATTCTATCGATCACTATTCTCTAAATCTCCTTTCCTTTCCTGTACTTTCCTTTCCTCCTTTCGCCTCCTTTCCACCTACCTGACCAGGTGTTGCTCTCCTCTCCTCCAGCTCCCTACCTGGGGAATCAGTTCCTGAGTTACGGTCAAAACTTTTCCTTCTCACTACGTCTGGACCGCGGCGTCCGCCACCCGTCCACCAATGACGTGATCCTGGAAGGTGCCGGTTTGCGAGTCGCTGCCTCGCTGGGCGACCTGCGATCCATCGTCCCCTGTGGACAGAAAATCAACTACAGCTTCAGGTCAGGAACCTGCAGAAAGATAATTAATTAAAGATTACACAAATTCATTCAAGGTCTACCAAAGTCTGCCACCATTACCATTTTACAATAGTTTCATAGTGCCACCAATGTCGGATTGGTTTCAGACAAAATGTATAAAGAAATGTGTGGCACTGATGATCTGGAGCACAACTGGTGTTACTATGAGATGTTGCGGGTTCAAATCCCAGTGAGCCCCCAAATATGTTATGGCTTCTGTAAACAAAATGGGCACCAATACCAGTAATCAGGAGGCAGAAACATCCAGAGTTTATTAAAGTTTTGTATTTTTCATTTGTCTTTATTTTTATTTTGTTTTAAATTTTTGAATGAACAGACTGGATGAGAAGCCTGACAGCAGGTGGCGGCCTCAGCTCTCCTCCTTCCAGTTCCAGACGCTCCTACAGAACCTCACCGCCATCAAGATCCGGGCAACATTCGGCGAAAATGGTGAGCTTCCTTTTATACTTCTGTTCAGTTCTTCCAGTCTTTGTTCCATCCAGCTTTCTTTCAGAGAACTCGACTACTCTCTGGGTTTTAGCTCACATGCAGTTCCTCCATAAAATTGCCCAAAAATGGGTGTTTAATCGTATACAGATCAGAGCTTTTCTACTGAGTATGTGGAATTGCTCTTGATTGATTGAACTGTTGTCTCTTCAGGACGTGGATACCTTGACAATGTAAAGCTGGTGTCAGCACAGCGTGGAGACGGTGTGCCGGCCCGATGGGTTCAGACCTGCAGCTGCCCACCAGGATATGAGGGCGAGTTCTGCGAGCGATGCTCAGCTGGTTTCAGACGCAAGATCCCCGCAGAAGGAGCCTTTAGCCCCTGCGAGCCCTGCAGCTGCAGAGGAGGCAGCTGCGACCCGCAGACCGGAGACTGTTACTCTGCTGACGAGACGCCCGGAGACCTGAGCTGCTCGGAGGGGTTTTACCGCGACCCCTGGCAGTCTCAAACCTGTGTAAAGTGTCCCTGTCCAGATGGAGTGTCCTGCTCGCTGGCTGATGGCTCACTGGTACCTCGTTGTGAACGCTGTCCAACTGGAACCACAGGTAGTCTCAGAACAATCATATATATTTGACCGTTCTAAACAGTCTTAATAGAATGCTATGCTAACGATATGAAAATACTGTATCTGTTTCCCACCTCAGGCCCTCGCTGTGATGTCTGTCAGGAAGGTTTTTACGGTGAACCTGCAAGGGGCGACGGTTTGCAGCAACCCTGCAGACCCTGCAGATGCAACGGCCACATTGATGTCACTATGGCGGGAAGTTGCGATCGCAGCACTGGCGAATGTTTAAAGTGTTTGAACAACACAAAGGGGAGGAACTGTGAGACCTGTGTGCGCGGTTTCTACCACAGCCGAGTCACCGATGCCTGCAAACGTAAGAACGATACTTCAGTTGGGACGCTCGTCGCATGACGCTGTTTAACTTTAAAAACTGTCCTGAACTATCAGCCTGATGTTGAGCTAGCGGGAGGTTATTAACAGTTATTTCCTCTCTTGTTTTTGGACCAGCATGTGACTGTGATGTTTGGGGCTCTGAGTCCCAACAGTGTGATGATTTGGGTCGCTGTCGCTGCAAACCGGGTTTTGAGGGTCTGAACTGCCAACGGTCCAACTGTCCTGCATGTTTCAGCCCCATCAAGGCGAAGGTATGTCTGTGAAAAGTCTGCTTCAAACACCAACACAATTAATTTAATGTGAATGTAATGTTAATTTCTTTTATATAAAGGATAGTTTGACTTGTAGACAGGATGTCCTCATGAGCCATCACCATGTGATCAGACAGGAAACGGGTGTAAATTAGTTTCTTGAACTCTGTGTTACAGATGGAGGCTTACGCTGGCAAGTTGAAGGAGCTGGAGACTCTGTTTTCTAACATGGGTGGAGGTTTGAAACCAGCCAACACCGAGATTGAGGCTGCTCTGAGGGACATTGCGGAGCAGGTGGATGACCTGAAGGACGACACCAAGCTGCTCACAGGTAGCACTTCATTCACTTCATCAGTCACTGAGTTTAAGTTTCGAATGAGTACTTTGATTCTAATGACATCACACCTTCTGTGTCCAATAGGATTGGAGAAGACCCTGCAGGGTCGTCTGTCGTCCATCAGCAGGAATCAGCTGGCTGAAGAGCAGGACATCCAAAACATTGCCGACAAGGCGGATGACATCAAACAACAACAGCAGATGTACAAGACAAAAGTGGAGGAGGTTCAGACTCTGATAGAGGAGATGAAACGCGACCTGGACAAGGCCAAAATCGACCTCAGATCAGCTGTAAGGACGATGTCATGCACTCGCTGTAGTTGACACTTCTCAAACATTTCTCTAAAACCTGCTTTGTCACTTCCTGTCCTTTCTAGGAAATTCCTCTTGGAGATGCTCCGCTGGGTTCAAACTTCCTCTCCTCTTTGGTGCAGACAGCTACCAGTCTGGCTGATAAGTAAGCATTCATTTGATGGTGTTATTGATAAACTAAAAAGAGGTTCCTTACATCGTTATAGTTTGTGTCTTTGTTATCCTCACTATTTCCTGTCTGTCCTTCAGACATCAGACGATGGCCGACGTTGTGGAGCGAACTGCCACCGGCGCTCTGAGTGACTCTGAGAAGAGTCTGGCTCTGGTCCGAAATCTCATGAACAAAGAAAACAAAGTCAAAGAGCTGGTTGGAGAACTGAAAACCATGTTAGTCACTTCACTGCATCCATAGATCAATAATCCTGGAGAAAATCTGTGCCCATACTCTGAATTAATGATGTCCGTGTGTGTTCAGGTATGATCAGACTTCGGCCCAGGTGAAGGGTTTAGAGAACCAGGGGACCCGGCTGAGCAGTGAAGCCAGAGACGAGATCAAAATGGCGGATGGCATGCTGAAAGACATCGCCAACATGGAGCGAGGCATCCCATCATCCCTGAAGGTAACAACTACTGTTAGAGGCCAAAGTGTGGAGACTTAAAGAAACACTGATGAGTAAGTTCTTATTCTAGTCTCTGACCCTCGTGTTTTCCCATCATGCTCAGGAGGGGGCGAATGCCATGGTTTCCAGGTTGGGCGGTCTGCAGCAGGTAGTAGATGGGGACATTGCAGGCTTTGAAGCGCAGCAGGATGGTGTACAGCAAAACATAGCCACCACCGAGGACCTTCTGGCCAAGGGCAAGGCTGCTCAGCAGGTACTGAAGGATTATGGGAATCCAGTCCTGCTTTTAAAATTCACTTGTAACAGAAGGGCTACAAACATGAACCAGTGCAGGTTTACGTTAACGTAGACGTCTAAGAAGTGTGAGTGTTGTTGTCGAGTTGCGTCATTGATGTGGTTCCTCTCTGCAGGAATTTGACAAGCTGGTGGACAGAGTCGACGTTGCCAAGGCTGACACCGAAGCAGCTCTCCGACGAATCACAAGCAACACAGATGAGCTGGACGACGCCCTGAAGACCCTGAGAGGTAAACGCAGCGACCAACTCTTTGTATCTTCTAAAACCAGTAAGAGCAAAGGACTGAACGTGATTCCTTGTCTTACTCCGCAGGGTTCGATCAGCAGATCGACAGCAACAGAGCTCTGGCCGACGCCGCCATCAAGCGTCTTCCCGGTATCAATGCCACCATCCAGCAGGCTGTCCGCAACAATGATGACACGCTGACCTACCTCGAAGATGTGTCTGGTGATTACAACAGCGCTCTGGGAACCATCAATGTGCTGGAGAACCTGGTCAACAGTCTGGAGGTAACAACCAAACTGTCCATTCATATAAACTGCTGAGATTCCAGCATCAGACTCTGTTGACGGGTGTCTTTACTCTGCAGGGAACGTTTGGATCTTTGCCGCCTCACGCTGGTCTGGTGAATGAAGCCACCAAACTGAACAAGGACGCGCAGGATCTGAGGACCAGGGCGGAAAACGCAGCTGGAGAACTGGACTCTGAGCTGGTGACTGCCGTGAGCCTGGAGGCTGAGGCTGAGCAGGTGAACTGTCCTCACAATAATACGTCCTGTACTTAAAGTGGAACTACTTTACTTCCAGCTCTATATTCTTAATCTGAGACTCCACTCAAGTAGATTTACTCTTCAAAACTAATGAAGTACTGAAGTAAGTTACTCTTTGTATGGGATTAGTACTTTTACTGTAGTAAAGGATCTGTTTCCTCTGCAGGCGGCTGTTGGAGCTGCTGGAGCTTTGGACAACGCCAGACAGACCAGAGACGCGGTGGGAAAAACTCTGCGAGACATCAGCGGTCTGCTGGCCGGCATGAGTGAGTACAAGTTGTTTTACTGGCAGAAACATTAAATCAATAATAATCAATAATATTGATTTAATAGTTGTTTTCTGAGGACTTGTTTACCCTTCCTTAGCCCCGATCCTTTTTGCTCTGTAAGTTCACAGCTTGTTCTGTGACCAGAAGTCAGACTCACAGGACATGTCACAGAGACACATGGACAGGGTTTTTTCTTATTTCTTATCTTCTCCTCCTCAGACCAGTCTGGTGGTCGCGTGGATGAGGATCTCCTGAAGCGGCTGGAGGCCTCTCTGGCTGACGCTCAGAGAGACGTGGAAGGCCGTCTGAGGCCTCGACTACAGGACATGGAGGAGCAGGAGTCCGCCCAGCGACGCCGGCTGACCGGCATCAACCTAGACATCGACAACATCCTAGCAGACATCGCTAACCTGGAGGACATCCTGAAGGCCGTCCCCAGCGGCTGCTTCAACAGCCCGCCCATCGAGGAACCCTGAGGACTGAGGCACGTCACAGTGTTCTGGTTTCACAGAGTCCTGATCCACAATGAGATACCTGCTGCCATTTCAACAATAATCTGGTTTTATAAAAGAAAAATTAGCTTTAACAAAAACGTACCAATTAGTGATCATCATAATATAATAATATACATTTTATTTACAGCTTCTTTCTAGAACAGTGTTCATAAAGCGCAAATTAACTGACTTTAAACATTTTTATTTAATATCAAAGGACAAAAGACGAGTGATTTAATGGAAGATTAGCTTTAGTAAATATTAGTTTTCATGCAATGTGCTAATGCTAATCTCTGTTTGAAGATGGTTAAAAGATAAAAGATACATATATATTTACAGTTAGCTGTACAGTTAGCTTCATAGTTAGCTAGGATTTTGCTAACATGCTAACTAGCCGCTAACAATTGATTGATGTCTGACATCAGTTCAAGGTTTAATTACTGCAACCTGAACGCAGCATTACGGCTCATTGCTCCTGGTTTTTACAGACCAGATAACTTTTTATAAACACTGAAACTGCAGAATGTTTGATCTGGAAATGATTTAAAACATTAGCATTATTGCACATAACAACCATATTTTTCCTCTTTAATAAACATTTAATGAGCCCTACAGGTTGTTCAGTATGAAAATGAACTGATATCTGTGGACACTGTGTATGAAACTATAGTTTGTGTTCATGTTTCTGATAATGATGTGATGTATGTGAATGAATGTAAAAGTATTCTATTTATAACTGTATGTACAGTACATCAGTGTTTTTTATCTTTTTATATTACGTGTTTTCATTTGTTCTGTGGATTCATTCATGTGGCCGACCAGCAGAAACATTTTAAATAAAACCCGCTGCACTTTTGTTCTGAGTAACATGTTTTAGTCTCATTATTGATCACTTTGATTATATCTGTAGCTCTCACTGAGTATATGGAAGACAATTCATGCCCAAAAAACCCCATCAAAAACAAAAAAGCTGAAAGGTTAGGAATTATTAATTGTTTATAATTATAATGTTTTTATGCTGTTGCATACAACGTCAGACACTTGTACACCGTGTTGGGATGTTGTAATTCAAATATGACCTCTATTAAACTGGCTGATAACAGCTAACAGTTGAACCTCGGGCAACTTCCTCCTTTCTAGCCTAGCATAGCATATCTAAGTACAGGAGCACAAGTTGCTGCGAACCCTCTTTGAAAAATAATATTCATAAATAAATGAAAAAATAGGTCAAATTCAGTTGCAGTTTAGTTTCTTTCTCTCTTTCTTCTGGGCCATCGGTTAAATAAATGTTATATAACTATTAATAACATTACTGTCCATCCATGCCAATCACATACACACACAGTAAAAATGACACATCATTTTTTAAGAGTGCATCACAGTTTACAATCAAAAGAAGTCAGAGCAACGAAAGGCAGATCAATACAGGAAACAAGGTTCATTATCAGCGACATGGTACAATGTAAAGTGACTGAACCTTAAACACACACACTCTCACTCTCTCTCTCTCTCTCTCTCACACACACACACACACACACACACACACACACACACGAAAGAAAACATAAATAAATACAAATAATTGCAAACAAATACAGATTCGACATTAATGAGGCGTTCAGAACAAACTGTACATTTACAGCGTGAATAGAAAATGGACGTGTGGGTGACGATCCCCACTGTGTGTTATATATATATGTGTATATACACACACACACACATATTTATTTACTTTTTGTTGTTGTTTCTATTTTTTGTAAACACATTCACAACAGATCATAATTCTACGCAGTGATAAACATTCATGCCAGAACCAAACTGTCTAAGCATGCAGTCTAAGAGGAGCTAACAGGAGCACATGGAGAAGAAAAAACAACCTTATACACTCAATGTGATCATCTTCATCATCATCATCTTCATCTTCATCAGCATCATCATCATCATCATCATCATCATCTTCATCATCATCATCATCATCTTCATTATCATAATTTTCATCATCATCATTTTCATCATCATCATCATCATCTTCACCATCATCATCATCATCATGTCCAATGATTTCAGTGCCTTAAAATCACATTCAGTTATTAGAATTACAGGTTATTCGTTAATTTAACTCAAACAATTGGTAAAACTGATTAATTTAAAATTTTAAGTCAAACCAACTTTTATGTTTGTTAGTTAAAACATTCCTAATTAAGCAGCTTTAGTCATTTTAAGTGCCACTGACTTAATTTTTAATTTTTATTTGTACAAACAACAAACACAAATTATTTTAACTTGTTTAAACTTTTACTTCTCATTTGGTTTGTTTTCACCTAAAATTCATTCAATTAATGAGTTTCAACAATTTTTTGAGTAACATTAACTCATCAGGTTTTACAGTGCACTGCAAGTTATTTTAAACATTTAAGTTACACAAACTAAATTAAACAAAAAGATTACTAAACATTTTTACTGGGTGTTTTAACAGTACAAATAAAAACACTAAAGCTGCTTGATCAAGAATATTTTAACTTACAAAAACTTTGTTTTACTTCAAATTTTCAACTTAATCAGAATCAACAATTTCTTGAGATAAATTAACTTTTCTGGTTTTACAGTGAAAAATTGAGAAAACTCATCATTTTAAAGCAACTGTCGTCACTAACTTTTAAAGTTTCAAGTCAAACTCGAACTAAAGTTTTGAAATAAACTTCAAAAGTTTTGCTTTAATATTTTAACATAAGAAGCTTTAAGTGTCACACTGTAAAACCCGATGAGTTAGTTCAACTCAAACTGAGGAAACTGATCGTGATGAAAAAAACATTTGATTTGAGTAAAAATAACAAAGTGTTTCATTTCATTCAGTTAATTGAACTTAAACTCATTTCTCCAAACTTATTTAAATGTGTTCACAGAATTTATCTGAATAAAGTCAGAGTAACTTAAATGTGTATTATTATGTATTATTAAATATATTATATTATAAGATTTAAAAATTTTTAATAAAAATTAATTTACTTTTCTGCTTCAGAAAAACTTCTAGAAGCAACAAAAAAATCTGTATTTTTAGAAATGTTTATTCTCCTTGTTGATCACTTTGATCACATTTATGTAGTTGACACTTTTATAAGTGCTTACAGAGAATATGGAAGCCAAATCGTGCCTAAAAAAACCCTCAAAAACAAATCTGAGTGAGCTGTGAACTGGAGTTTTCCATATTTGGGTGCTAAAATTAAACAGTTGGAAGTGAAAATATTATTAATTATTATTAGTTCATTTAAAAACGTTTAACATAATAGAAACAGTTTCCATTAAATGATGAGTTTTCTCAACTTAAAGCCGAACCCTTTTTTTACAGTGCATGTTTTACAGTGTGTTTGTAGTTCCTGAAGCATCAGTGCTGTTGCTATGGTTACCTGCAGGTTAATACACCTTTAGCGCCGAGGTTAAACTGTTGACCTGAACTCAACTGATGTGTCACTATGTACAGTTTTGGCTACAGAAGACTTCCGTCAAACGCCATCGGACCTCACGCACGAACATTTTAACCTCCTTACACTGTAAAAAAAAATCATATTTTCCAATTCAAATGTCTTTAATTTAACTAATAATTATAATTTACTTCTTTCTTTAGATAGAATGAATTTCTAAATTTTAGAAAATTCTGTTTCTAAAATTGTTCAGGGAATTTAATAAATTATTATTTCGAATATTTAATTTTCAAGAACCCAAATAATAAAAATTTGGGTTCACAGCTTCACTTTTTGTTTTGTTTCTAAAACTTAAAGTTTCTCTAAAGTAAAAATTACAACAACATTATTATTATTATTATTATTATTATTATTATTATGTCTGCAAAACTTTTTAAAGTTTATTTCAAAACTTAAAAGTTTGAGTTTGACTAAAAACGTAAAGAGTTTCCTTTAAACTTTTTCTTTTTCTACAGTGTAACGTCTCTCCGGGCCGATCACTCATACAAAGTTTAAATTGATTATAATTAAATTATAATTCTTACATTTTGTCATCACATTGGCAGAAATGAGCTCATGAAGAAACTCCGACGTCGTTCAGAGCAAATAAACAACCTCATAATCTTTGATGATAGTTAATAGATAATAATCTAATAATCTAATAATCTAATAATCCATACAGGTGATTATCAATGCTAACGATGCTAATCCCTCAGGTTAGCATCCTCGGCTCCTCCTTAACTTCCTGTAACCAGCGTTCTGCTTCCTGTTCCTGCGTGAGGTCCAAACACTCAACGCCCCCCCAACACATCAGTGACACCTCTGCAGCCCTTATTGATCCCCCCCCCCACTGATGGGACACTAAAGCTCAAAGAAGAGAATATGTTTGACACAGAAGACAGAAGGATGTTTGTTGTTGTTGTTGTTGTTGTTGTTGTTGTTGGGGCGGGGGGGTTTATATAGATGATGGTAGCTGTAGCCCCCCCCCCCTCTCCCTGTGCTCTACCCCGAGGCGTTGATGTACAGCTGACTCTGCAGGATGTAGTCGATGACCGGCTGACTCAGGTAATCCACGACGTGTCCGTCCCCGTGCTGCAGGGCCAGTCTGAGGGGGGGGGGCAGATAACAGGACGTTAGTCTGAGGCTTCATCTGTTTGTGCTAAGCTAGGCTAAGTTCTTTAGAAACTCTTTTTTTGACGTTATCGTCACGGTGACGGCGTCGACCCACCGGCTCTTGGTGGAGCTGACGACGGACATCGGATGAGTCATCGCGTCTTTCACCATGACGATGTTGTCCTGAAACGGAGAACAGACGATGAAGAGGAGGAGGTTCCTCACACAGAATACAGACCGAGGTCCAGACGAGGTTCTGGTTCTGGTTCTGGTTCTGACCTTGTGCTTGCGGAGGATAGACGAGTGATTCATGATCCTCTCGGTGTCGGCGCCATCACGAGGAACCACCACGATCCCAAAATCCCCCACGATCACCTCCATCTGAAACCACAGCCAGAACCTGCTCAGGTCCGATACGTCCACACACAGAACCAACCGGTCCGTCTCACTCTGGATCAATACATCTACTCACTATGATGTCACGCTAATAATGCTAATAATGCTAATAATGCTAATTAAATAAACTCCAATGTAACTCACTGTTAGCAAACTGTTAGCAAACTGTTAGCAAATGTTAGCAAACTGTTAGCTTCGGGTTCTCACTGATATTGTGCGGAGGCTAATTAGCTTAGCTTACGTTAAGATAACATTAGCCAGCTAGCGGTTGATGTAGACTAGTTAGCTAGTTAGCTAGCATTCGCTAACTTAAGATGTGACTTTAAGTCTTTCCAACATAGACTAGCTTAGCATGTAGCATATCTAAGGACAGGAAGGAGGAAGTTGACGAGGCTCGACTGTGATTGGAGGACAGAGCAAAAAGGGGCGGGACAGTCTCTCGCTAACACTCATATTAGCTAGCATTATGCTAGCATTCATTATGCTAGCATTCATATTAGCTCGGTCGTTAGCTCATTAGCAGTGTGAAAGGAGAATAACGTAGCATGCTTTGGACGATAATGTTTTCTTTCTGCAGAAGAACATCGGAATGACCCGTCGGAGCCAAGGGGCGGGGCTACAGTGCGGTGGGGGCGGGGTTAATGTGGGTGGGGGCGGGGCTACAGTGTGCTTACATCACTGTCCTTCCACAGGCCAGGGATGCAGAAGGACTCCAGGAGATCACTGCCACACAGGAGCAAGATGCGTAACTCTACAGACGACAAACAGGCAGGAGGAAAGAGACACGTCCTCAGTAAACAACTTGTTTACTGGATACAAACAAACAAACAAACAAACAAACCAGAAGGAGTTCGGACACAGCAGGAAGGAAACCAGAGGACACCACACAGGAGACACTTCAGGTTCAGACTCACCGATCTCCTCGTATCTCATCGCGGTCCCCAGGTTGGCGTTCTCATCTGACACACAGTACGTTTCAGTCATCAGTGGACAGTTTACAGGAAATACTCATCATCTAATGTCTAATGTCAAACAATGTGAACTGTAAATAATCATTATGTTATTATGGAAAGAAAATGTCCCTTTTTCACATAAAACAACAGAAACTGTAGAATAAATGTTGTTTATCAGTGTATAAGGTAAACTGTCCAAATACAGTTGTTATCAGTGTAAACAGCAATAATTACTGTAATCTCACAGATAATGACTTTTATTACACTTCTATAACTTTTAACATTCACATTAAAATAATAACAATCCAATAATAACAGCACTCTGCTGTAAATGTAAGTCTGATTATTGTATTATAGCAGAGTTCACCTGGATTTATAGATCATTGTTTACACTGTAAATATTAAATATTAAAGAGACAAAACAATTCGATTTTAGTTCAAATTAAAGCAGAAATCCTAATTACAGAAAGACGACTGTATTTTGTAATTTCTGTGACTTTACAGTTTAAAAATATTAACATTATATTCAGGTTTACGTACGTGTGGTCTACTTACCGACGAAGGTGAAGCGTTCGATGTGCGGACGGACGCAGCAGATCTTCCCCAGACTCTCGCTGACCTTCCCCCACAGTTTGACTGCAGAGAGGAAGAGGAGGGTGAGGAAGCAGCTCTCAGACACACAGCACATTCATTAGCTCACTGAACACTGAAGGACTCACTGGCTGTGGGCTTGTGATTCATGTTGTTGTGGTTCTGGTAGATGGGCGGAGTCTGGTTCTGCGGCTGACCAATCACGGGGGTCGTGGACGGCGTGTTGACGTTGGACAGAATGCAGCCGGTGACTCTCTGAGGAAGCAGAACTTCTTCATCAACACTTTTTTAATGAACTGCAGAGGTTTGAGGTTGCCATGGTAACTGCTGCACTTCTATATAGTTATCATTAGTTATTATTAATTATTAATGTGAGTCAAACAAGGCGGCGGAAGCAGTACCGCTCCTGTCCACAGGGAGCGCCAGAGTCAACAAAGGGTCATTATAAATATAAATATATAAAAATATCTGATCAATATTCAATATTATCAGCTGTTCTCTGCTGTTATTGATACTGATCAATACAATATATTTATATATATATATATATAAAATATAAAAATAAAAGTTTACCTTTAAAATTCAAAACATTCCTGTTTAGACATTTTTTCAAAATAAGTTGAGAAAAATTAATAATATAAAACATTTATTTATTTATTTTTTGGATTCGCACCCTGGGCCGCTGCAGCAAGGACTCGGTACATGGGGCCAGCTCTACCAGGTGAGCCCATAATCATATAAATATTAATAATAACCACGTCCTCACCTTCATCAGGTCCCGGTGATGCTCCAGCACGCTGCAGGTCGTCTGCCAGGTGTCCTGGTAACACTCCCAGGGGTCCACCCTGCACCAAAGCCCACACAGACACACACACAGCAGATGTGTCACAGTTACAGAACATCTCAACATCTCGTTAAATAAAGTTTCTTACCTTCAGTGTCACACAGAGATATTAAAGCGGTCTCACCTGATCCAATCAGAGGACTGAACAGCCAGCTGACACATGGTGAGACGATGTCTGCTGGGCACTAAACCCTGAACACACAAATAAGAGTTATTTTACTTTCTGATGTTATTATTTCTCAGTATTAGCTAAAGTATCCTTTATAAGGTAGTTGACAAGTTACACAAAGAGTCTGGATGAAGCTAGCTGACAGTATTTTGCTGCGTTAGCAACCAAGCTAACGTTATCCAGCTAACAGCACAATCAGACAATATGTTCCACTAGCTTAGCATTAATGTTAGCTTTGACTTTGGACTCTGTGTTGTGGACTCTGTGTTGGACTCTGTGTTGGACTCTGTTAGACTCTGTGTTGGACTCTGTGTTGTGGACTCTGTGTTGTGGACTCTGTGTTGGACTCTGTGTTGTGGATTCTGTGTTGTGGACTCTGTGTTGTGGACTCTGTGTTGGACTCTGTGTTGGACTCTGTGTTGGACTCTGTGTTGTGGACTCTGTGTTGGACTCTGTGTTGGACTCTGTGTTGTGGACTCTGTGTTGGACTCTGTGTTGTGGACTCTGTGTTGGACTCTGTGTTGTGGACTCTGTGTTGTGGACTCTGTGTTGGACTCTGTGTTGGACTCTGTGTTGTGGACTCTGTGTTGGACTCTGTGTTGGACTCTGTGTTGGACTCTGTGTTGTGGACTCTGTGTTGGACTCTGTGTTGTGGACTCTGTGTTGGACTCTGTGTTGTGGACTCTGTGTTGGACTCTGTGTTGGACTCTGTGTTGGACTCTGTGTTGCCCACTGTTGGCACTCGGGAGCATAAAGGTCACAACCTTTGACCCTCATCCTACATAGAGACACATAGAGATCAGTCCACAGACAGCAGAGGGACAAAGCTCCACTACAACCTGTTCACACACACTGACTCACACACTGATTATACTTAAAATGCTTCAGAATCTCACAAATAAAACCTTTAAAGCAGCTATGAAAGCTTTCATTTTGTGTTGATAGTGTTTCCACCACTTCGTTCCATTCAAGGGGAATCCGACCTGGTGGCAGACATTAATCCGACCTTCCAGGAACGCAAATTCAACCAACCATCATCTGGAGAGTTTAGTGCCGACACTGAAATGAGCAGCAAAGACTGAAACTGTTTCTGTAGCATTTATTATTCATGTTGTGTGTTTCTATAGAGACGCAGCAAAAGTAGGACAAGAGCTTCATTAATTCCAGCAGGAACCAGAGTGGAAAACAACAGCAGCTGCACACAGGACGCTGCTGTCTGCTGCTATCTGCTATCTGCTCCTATCTGCTATCTGCTGCTATCTGCTATCTGCTGTCGTCTGCTGCTGTCTGCTGCCGTCTGCTGCTACATGATGCTACATGATGCTACCTGATGCTCTCTGTGCTTTGTACTGTGCTGCAGTCTGAACACAAGCGTCTGACATTCTCCTCAGTAAATGATGACGGGGGTCTTTTTGACTTACAGGTTTCCCGTAGGAGTCGTGCACCGGCGAGATGATTCCTCCGATCACGATGAAACGACCTGTTTTGTGCAGATATTCTCTGGCTTTCTCTGAAAACACACAAACACAAAGTTCAGGGATGAAAATGTGAATCCTCCAAAATGATATTTCTAATTTATGGAACTTTATTCTTCTACATCTCAGAGGGAAATATTGTGCTCGATTACACATTTTACAACATTGAATCCTCAACATGTTTGTGCTTCTGCACGAGATTCAATTCGTTCCCACCTTTTTGTGTTAATTTGCAAACGAGATTCAGATCATTGATTACAAAGTGACGCAGCAGATCTACTAACAACAAGGTATTATTAGGACATGTGATTTTCATACTGCAGCCAGTAAAATAAGAGTGTGTCCAATCGTGTGTGTTCCTGCTCTGAAGAAACTCCCCCTCCGTTGACTCACCTGAGACAAACCAGGAAACAGAGGTTGTTATTGTGCTTCACTGACGGGAGACACACAGACAGAGACAGACGATAAGATTCACCTTCAGACCAAAACCCACTGAGACAGGACAGCTACAGGAGGGAATACTGGGAATACTGGAATACTACCACTTCAACCAGCTGCTGAATCCACAAACTGAACAGAATATCGCTCAAATTGGCAAGATGATCTTAAGATTTATAGAAAGGCCCTCCGTAATGCCAGAGGAGCCTATTACTCAGCACTAATAGAAGAAAATAAGAACAACCCTAGGTTCCTCTTCAGCACTGTAGCCAGGCTGACAGAGAGTCACAGCTCTATTGAGCCACATATCCCCATAAACTTAAGTAGCAATGACTTCATGAGCTTCTTCTATAATAAAATTATTACTATTAGAGAAAAAACTAATCACCAACTGCCATCAACAGTTATCAGTGGCTCTCCAAGTTCAGGGACTTCTGTCAATGTAAACTTAGATATATATTTAGACTGTTTTTCTGCTATCGATCTTCATCAGTTAACTTCAATCATTTCTTCATCGAAGTCATCAACCTGTTTGTTAGACCCGATCCCAACTAGGCTGCTTAAAGAAGTTGTTCCCTTAATTGGCACTTCTTTACTGGATATGATTAATCTTTCTTTATTATCAGGATATGTACCACAGTCCTTTAAAGTAGCTGTAATTAAACCCCTTCTTAAAAAGCCCACTCTTGACCCAGGGGTTTTAGCCAACTATAGACCGATTTCTAACCTCCCGTTCCTCTCTAAGATTCTGGAGAAAGTAGTCGCCAAAGAGTTGTGTGACTTTCTACATAACAATAGTTTATTTGAGGATTTTCAGTCAGGATTTAGAGTTCATCATAGCACAGAGACAGCTCTGGTTAAAGTTAATAATGACCTTCTGACTGCTTCTGACAATGGACTTGTCTCTGTACTTGTATTATTAGATCTTAGTGCTGCATTTGACACCATTGACCATGATATTCTTTTACAGAGACTTGAGCATCAAATTGGCATTAAAGGAACTGCCCTAACCTGGTTTAAGTCATACTTATCAGATCGTTCTCAGTTTGTACATGTTAACGATGAATCCTCCATAAATACTAAAGTTAGTCATGGAGTTCCACAAGGTTCTGTACTTGGACCAATACTATTTACTTTATATATGCTCCCTTTAGGCAACATTATTAGGAATCACTCCATTAACTTTCACTGTTATGCAGATGATACGCAGTTATATCTATCAATCAAACCCAATGAAATTAATCAATTATCTAAATTACAAACATGTCTTAAGGACATAAAATCCTGGATGACCTGCAATTTTCTGATGTTAAACTCAGAAAAAAACGAAATTCTTGTTCTTGGCCCCAAAAACCTTAGAGACTCATTGTCTAAAGATATAGTCACTCTAGATGGCATTACCTTGGCCTCTAGCACCACTGTCAGGAATCTTGGAGTTATCTTTGATCAGGATTTGTCATTTAACTCCCACATAAAGCAGACCTCTAGGACTGCCTTCTTTCATTACGTAATATTAGAAAAATTAGACACATCCTATCACAGACAGATGCAGAAAAACTAATCCATGCATTTGTTACTTCAAGGCTGGATTACTGCAACTCTTTATTATCAGGTTGCCCCAATAAGTCCATTAAAACGCTCCAATTAATTCAGAACGCTGCAGCACGAGTACTGACAGGAACTAGAAAAAGAGATCACATCTCTCCTGTACTAGCTACTCTGCATTGGCTCCCTATAAAATGTAGAATTGAATTTAAAATCCTCCTCCTCACCTATAAAGCTCTTCATGGTCAGGCCCCTTCATATCTTAAAGAGCTCATAGTACCCTATTACCCCACTAGAACACTACGTTCTCTGAATGCTGGGCTACTTGTGGTTCCTATAGTCTCTAAAAGTAGAACAGGAGCCAGAGCCTTCAGTTACCAAGCTCCTCTCCTGTGGAACCAGCTTCCAGTTGTGGTTCGGGAGGCAGACACCCTCACCACATTCAAGAGTAGGCTTAAGACATTCCTCTTTGATAAAGCTTATAGTTAGGGCTGGATCAGGTGAGTCCTGAACCATCCCTTAGTTATGCTGCTATAGGCCTAGACTATCGGGGGATTTCCCATGGTGCACTGAGCTACTCTCTTCCTCTCTCTTTCTGCACTCATTCATGTCCCTTTAATGCATGTTACTAACTCCACTTCTTCCCCGGAGTTCTTGTGCTTTCTCGTCTCGCAGGTTCTCATGGATCCTGGTGGAGCCTCCTGCCATGGTCCTGCTTGACTGCCATTGCCATTACTGTTGTTGCTGTGCATCTGTCTGTCTCTCTCTCTCTCTCTCTCTCTCTCTCTCTCTCTCTCTCTCTCTCACCCCAACTGGTCGAGACAGACGACCACCCACCTAGAGCCGGAGGATCTGTCCTAGGTTTCTGCCTTTTAACAGGCAGTTTTTCCTTGCCCTTGTCGCCAAGTGCTTGCTCATGGTGGTACTGTTGGGTCTCTGTAATTAATGTTAAAGAGTTCGGTCTAGACCTGCTCTATTTGAAAAGTGTCCTGAGATAACTTCTGTTATGAATTGGCGCTATACAAATAAAATTGAATTGAATTGAATTGAGTTTGACTCCAAAGACTCAAAGTGAAAGTAACTTTCAGAGAACAGGGAGTGACTGACTGGTTTCCTGTTGGAGCTGCCTGCTGTGCTTTCAGCTGCACTCACAGACAAAATGGCTTCCAGATTAGAGGAAGATCTCTGCTGTCCTGTCTGCCACGACATCTTTAAAGATCCGGTCATCCTGTCATGTAGCCACAGCTTCTGTAAAGACTGTCTGAAGAGCTGGTGGACAGAGAAAGTAACACGTGAGTGTCCAGTTTGTAAGAGAAGACATTCAAGGGAAGATCTACCTCCTAACTTGGCTTTAAAGAACCTGTGTGAGAGTTTCTTACAGGAGAGAGATCAGAGATCTTCAGAGGCTCTCTGCAGTCTGCACTCTGAGAAACTCAAACTCTTCTGTCTGGACCATCAGCAGCCAGTGTGTGTCGTCTGCAGAGATTCAAAGAAACACACCAACCACAGATTCAGACCCATCGATGAAGCTGCACAGGATCACAAAGAGGAGCTCCAGAAATCTCTGAAGCCTTTAAAGGAGAAGTTAAAGGTTTGTGAAGGAGTTAAAGTGAAGTTTGATCAAACAGCAGAACACATGAAGGTCCAGGCCCGACACACAGTGAGGAAGATTAAGGAGAAGTTTAAGAAGCTTCACCAGTTTCTAGAAGAGGAGGCCAGGCTGACTGCACTGAGGGAGGAAGAGGAGCAGAAGAGTCAGATGATGAAGGAGAAGATGGAGGCTCTGAGCAGAGAGATAGCAGCTCTTTCAGACACAGTCAGAGCCACAGAGGAGGAGCTGAGAGCTGAAGACGTCTCATTCCTGAACAACTACAAGGCTGCAGTGAAAAGAGTCCAGCAGCGCCCCCTGCTGGAGGATCCACAGCTGCCCTCAGGAGCTCTGATAGACGAGGCCAAACACCTGGGCAACCTGACCTTCAACATCTGGAACAAGATGAAGGACATGGTCTCCTACACTCCTGTGATTCTGGATCCAAACACTGCTGGTCCAGAACTCATCCTGTCTGAAGATCTGACCAGTGTGAGAGGAGGAGAGAAACAACAGCTTCCTGATAATCCAGAGAGGATTGATTCTTCATGGTGTGTTCTGGGTTCTGAGGGCTTTAACTCAGGGACTCACAGCTGGGATGTCGAGGTTGGAGACAGTGAATACTGGAGACTGGGTGTGTTAGCAGAGTCTGTCCAGAGGAAGGGAGACAGAGTCTGGATTATGGGAAATATGGTTCTGGTTAGGTAAATACAGAGCATCCTCCCCATCAGCTCCACCCACTGTTCTTGTAGTTCAGAAGAAGGTCCAGAGGATCAGAGTGAATCTGGACTGGAACAGAGGAAAGCTGTCGTTCTCTGATCCTGATACTAACACACACATACACACCTTCACACACACTTTCACTGAGAGACTGTTTCCATTTATTTACACTGGGGATTATAAACAGCTGAAGATTCTACCAGAGAAAGTCTCTGTGACTGTTCAATAGAAATAGATGATGATGATGATGATGAAGATGATGATGATGATGATGATGATGATGATGAGGTTTTTGGTGGTTTTGGGTTTCCATAGTAACGTGATCCAGATAAACTCAGTAAAAGCTGCTTCTGGGTCCAGAAACCAGGTTCCTGTTTGCTGCTGTGTTTACACACATTACTGATGTAACATTTAGTTGTTAATCAATCTGTGAATGATGGCAGCTATAGGTTTGTGATTGGATCATTGATTATATCTATAAAGTGAATTTGATCAGCAGGTTAAACTCGGGCTCCATTATTCAGAACCAGTCTGAAAACTGTCCCTTTGGACCGAACAAACCCCCCAGTGCTCCGAAGGCCTGTGGCTCCAACTACACTCTCTCTCTGGAGTTTGTTCAACCTGAATATCAATGGCACCAAACATTGATCCTGATTGATTTGTTTCTTGATGTTCCAGAGATTGTATCTGAAGTTATCTGCTCAGAGTTTGTGTCCACTGTAATCCATCTTGTGTAAAACTGTACAATTAAAGTTTGTCATTAAGCAGAAACTGTTGATTGAACTTTAAAATGAGGGTTGAAGAGTTGCTCTTATTGTCCTCAGGCAAACTAAATGAGTCCAAGCTTTTTTAAATGTTGCTTCATCCATCAGACCACAGTCACACAGTGGCGGAAACCTGCTGTGAGGTTGAACAACAGTCTGAGTGTGAGGAGCTTTGAGCACATGTGTAGAAAAATGACTCGACGGCGCCCCCTACAGAGCGGCCCCAGCAGCACGTTTAACCAATGTGTATGAAAATCGGTACACATGAAGCTAAAGTCTATGTACAAAAGGTCTGTTGGATCCAACCCCAACCCCAACAGGAAGTCATTTCCAGGCCTTCTATTATAACAAACGATCTAATGCGATCAACAGTCATTAATATGTTGACCTTTTTGTAACTGCAACATTTAAACTACGAAGCCCCGACAACACTAAACAGTTAACGCACACACACAACAAACGCTATTTAAAAAATCTGTAAAATAAACAGAAAAACACAGAAAACGTACAGATATTTTTTTACAGTGTATCAGGAACGCGTTTGACTGCATTGAATCCTCAAAATGCTGCTGTGTGGGCACAACATACCGATCAGATTGTCATTGATTAGAGTAGTGATTTTAAGATAATCTGGTTGAATATGGATATAAAAGCATAAATATATGAATTAGTGCAGCTTTAATGTCAGATTTTAGTATCTGCTTTGTGCTTTAAGTCTTTGAGGAGGTTTTTTGTAGGTTCCTCATTCATTTTCCTTCAGCTCTGGAGGAAGGAAGGTTGCAGCGACGTCGCCCAGAGGAAGATACAGAGATGGAGGAGCTGCTGGTGAATATAGGTCATGATGGGAAGATGGCTGCTGTGCTGCTGCATCGGGAAACCAAACATCCACATCAAAGAGCCTGAGGAGGAAAGTTTGATCTGAACCACTCTGGATTCACCTCCATGATAATATTCAGCTGGAAGGCACACAGCGTCGCTCTCCTTATCCTGTTCAATGTCTGCTTATTGTTCTGTTTTCTAAAGATTTGTCCTATATGTAGCAGAGTCAATCAATAATCTATAATCAATAAACAGTGTATATGTTTAGAATTTGGTGCTTTTTAACTCTAGATGATTTGAACCGATAAAGGATTTTACTGCTAGCAGCCGCTAACTGCTGCTAGCACAGCCTCTGTGACCAGTGAAGAAGACGTCAGTCCTCCGTCCCTCCAACAACAAACTGAGAGCCTGTCCTCACGAATACGCGGCCTCACCCAATACGATGCCGCTTAGAAAACAATCTCCGTGAACACGGCGTCGTTTGCAGAAATGTCGTACATATGCCAGGCCTGTATGTGGCGCTGTGACGCCGCCACACCAACACACTAAAACCGGAAGAGAAGCCATGGAGCATGTGCTGTTGTTGTTGTTGTTGTTGTTGTTGTTGTTGTTATGATGTGTCTAGCGGAGGTTAAAGGATAGAGAGGCGGGGCTAATACGTCATCGCTGTCCAGACGAATCCGGCGTTTTCAGATTTTCCCACTCTGGGACCCGTTTCCAAAAAATACCGTTTTCACACCCTGAAAACTCCGTATCCGTCTGGACGTGAGGCCGATACGATAAAGTATTTATCCGGATTCGAGAAAAACTTATTCGTGAGGACAGTGTGAAACAAAATGGCCGCCTCCTAACCCTACAAACAGGATGCTATGCTAGCTGCTAATTAGCTCTCCAGTTGGAAGCGTTGACATTTTTACATTCGCTGTTTGGATCCGATAAAACCGTCTCAAAGGAACAAACGCGATACCGTTCAGCTGATTGAACACCGATAAATATTATATTACTTTAATAATGATAGATCCTCCTCAGTGGTACACACTGAACCTTTAAATGAAGATAATCTCTTAAAACAACATTTATATATAACGTCCATTATATATATATAATATTAAACCGAGCGTATTCCCTGTCAGAGGCGTTATTGATCCGTGGGAGGAAACTGTGACGGTGCAGACGTTAAACAAAAAGCAATGATAGGAAGATATCAGTTATCCTACAGTATATAACAACAGTATAATATATATCTTTATATATATATCTATAAAGAGATATATCTATATAACAACAGTATAATATATATCTTTATATATATATCTCTATAAAGAGATATATCTATAAAGAGATATATATATAACAGCAGTATAATATATATCTTTATATCTATATCTATAAAGAGATATATCTATATAACAGCAGTATATAACAACAGTATAATATATATCTTTATATATATATCTCTATAAAGAGATATATATAAAGATATATATATATAACAACAGTATAATATATATCTTTATATATATATCTCTATAAAGAGATATATCTATAAAGAGATATATATATATAACAACAGTATAATATATATCTTTATATCTATAAAGAGATATATCTATAAAGTGGTATATATATATAACAGCAGTATAATATATATAGATATCTTTATATATATATATATATATATATACAACAGCAGTATTATGGAGAGCAGAGTGAGCTCAGTGTACAGCGGAAGATATCAATAATCAATAATCAATAATCAATAAGCTGAAATAGATCCAACTCTCAGTAACTCTCAGTAAGTCAACCAGTAAACACTGTGAACAGCAGCGACAGAAATCTTCATTCTTCCTCCTCAATAATTTATCTGCAGCTCCTCTTCCTCTCTAATGACGCAGGAAACTGCCACTGAGCAAGGCACCAGCTGTCTGTCTGCCTGTCTGTCTGCCTGTCTCTCTCTCTCTGTCTGTCTCTCTCTGTCTGTCTGCCTCTCTGTCTCTCTGTCTGCCTGTCTGTCTGTCTGTTTCCTGTCTCACTGATCTCTGGAGGATCTTGTTTTCTGGGCTGCGCCACACGCCGCGCGGCGCCGCGCGAGGCCCTGCGGAGCTCCGACACGGAACATTTCCGTGTCTTCCGCCTAGAACCGGGTCCAGACAGCGAGCAGCTCGGTCCCGTTATGTCCCTAACATGTCCTCAGTGTGGGCTTTGCTTTCATTATGTTCCGCTCGATGTGGAGCCGTCGCCCATTTCAGCACCACCCTGCTGGACAGCGACCAGCCGCCGCGCACCAGACCCCGTTCATATTTTTACCGTTTTAGCTCAGATGCGTTACGGTTATTTAATGGGGCGGTTCCAGGAGATATTGATGTTATAATAACACAAACACAGCCCGTACCCCCCCCACCCTTCCTCCCCCCCCACCCTCAGGCCCAGATGCTCACCGAACATATGGATGTGTCCCTTGGTGATCGGGTTGAAGCTGCCGCAGGACAGCAGGATGACGTGGGTTTTGGTGGTTTCTGTCATGGTCTCTGTCGGTCTCTGTCGGTCTCCTGTTCCCCTGTCCCGGTCCGGTCCGGTCCCGGTCCTTCCTGTGTGGTGGTCGGTTGTTTGTAGCAGCAGCAGCCGCAGAGAGAGAGAATGAGAGAGAGAGAGAGAGAGAGAGAGAGAGAGAGAGAGAGAGAGAGAGAGAGAGGTTGGTGTCTGCGGCAGGAAGCAGCGTCAGTCTGTTAAAGAGACACACACACAATAATCAATAATCAATAATCACTATTATATCATGGATTAATAACTGCAGAACAATACAGCTGCCGAGAGTCTGGAATCTAATTAAACACATTTAACTTTATTTTCTAATTAAATGTATTGATTAGGTATCTAAATGGAAGATTTTCCATTTTTGGTAACAGGACAGAAAGTTTACAACATTGATTTAAAAAAATACAATAAATCTCTCTATAGGGGATAGATTTACAATAATTCACATTAAAATCAATAAAAAAGTCTCCTTATAACTCTACACAGTGTATAAATATAATAATAATAATAATACATTTTATTTAGAGGCGCTTTGGATACTCAAAGACACTTTACATAAAAACAACATAAAAATAGCAAAAAACAACAATAAATAGTAAAAACACAAAAAACACATCGGACTAAGCTCAACATTAAAAGCAATTTTAAAAAGGTGAGTTTTTGTCAATGATTTGAACGCTGGAGGGTCGGTGCAGTCACGGATTTGTTTGGGGAGAGAGTTCCAGAGGGAGGGGGCAGCTACAGAGAACGCTCTGTCGCTCCAGGTTCGGTGCTGATGTTTTCCTGACAAAAGTTGTCTCCTCCCACATAAAGCAGACCTCTAGGACTGCCTTCTTTCATTTATGTAATATTAGAAAAATTAGACACATCCTATCACAGACAGATGCAGAAAAACTAATCCATGCATTTGTTACTTCAAGGCTGGATTACTGCAACTCTTTATTATCAGGTTGCCCCAATAAGTCCATTAAAACGCTCCAATTAATTCAGAACGCTGCAGCACGAGTACTGACAGGAACTAGAAAAAGAGATCACATCTCTCCTGTACTAGCTTCTCTGCATTGGCTCCCTATAAAATGTAGAATAGAATTTAAAATCCTCCTCCTCACCTATAAAGCTCTTCATGGTCAGGCCCCTTCATATCTTAAAGAGCTCATAGTACCCTATTACCCCACTAGAACACTACGATTGCACTCTGGCTGTGCTGACCCCTGCAAATTCCCCAAATGTGTTAATCTTGACTACATAATTTCTGGTAGTCGGGGATTTATTTTTGTGTCAGAGGAAAAAATAAAAGAGACCATGGGTGCTATAAATTTGATCATAGCAACTTCCGTGGGAATGTTAACTGACTGCAGATTTACCGAACATACATGTTTTGATGGTGGGGGTTTGTCAATGCCTGAGACAGGTGGGATCTGTGGGAATGCAGAAGTGTGGCTCCTCCAAAAGGGACGAATTTGAAAGTATCTGAAGCATTCATATTGTTGTACGTGGCAGTGGTATATATTCTGGGCAAACTGTTAATAGGAAAACATTCACTTTTCTGTATATTTAATTATAAATTAATAAAAGCTTCCAAATACACTGAGAACATAAAGAATGTGCAGGATGCTGAATACCGGCTCAGATATGTAAAGGAGCAGATCATCAGCATATAAACCTTATTTTCAGTGTCCCATCTCCTGACCCCAGAGAACAAAGTATTTTCATTCAGCGTTCATTGGCAAGGGTGAAAAAGGCAGAAGAAAGGGGGCATCACTGGTGAGACCCAGACGATAGAGGAAAGAACAGTGATCGAGTACTGTTAGTTAAAACCCATGCCCGGGGAGATGTGTAAAGCAGACGTGTCTCTGAAAAAGAGGAAGCTCCACTCCACCCTGTCAAAAGCTTTTTGAGCATCAGGTGAGAGTATTACTTCAGGACAGGTTGGAGAGGCTGGAGAATGAATAAAACGTAAAAGTCTGTGGATGATTGTGAACGAATGAATCCTGTTTGATCATCGGAAATTACATTAGGAAAGATAGTTTCTAATCTACAGGCTGTCGCCTTTGCTAATGTTTTTACGTCCACATTAAGGAGTGAAATTTAACACCATGAGGAGCAGTTTGTGAGATCCTTGTCCCCCTTAGGAATTAATGAAATAGAGGCCTGAGGAAAAAACACCTTGTTGGAGCGAGTCCTTAAACATCTCTAACAATAAAGGAGCCAGACGCTTTGAGAATTTCTTATAAAACTCCACAGGATAACCATCCGGTCTCAGAGATTTTCCACTCTGCATCTTTTTGATAGCTCCTGGTGTTCACCTGGGGAGATCTTTGGAATAGTTAGGTTTAAAAGAAACTGGACATTTCACATGTCTCATTTGGGGCCTCAGATGCATGTAGGAGGGGGTAGAAGGATCTGAAAGCACCATTCATTTCATTAGGATCTGTTATAAGGCTGTTATGAATTTCTGCTCTTTAATTGTTGAGCCAATAAACGCCCCGCTTCATCCCCATGTTCGTACAAAGCTCCCTGTGTCTTAAGTAAAAGATGTTCCACATCTCTGGTGGTAAAAAGGTTAAACTCAGTTTGGGTGAGGGGGCTGCAGAGTAACAGCGATATTCGTCTGGAACCAACTCTGTTAATTCTTGTTGATGTTTTTTTCTCTGCATGTTAGCATGAACAGTATATGAGATGTTAGTACCCCTAATACTCGCCTTCAAGGTCTCCCATAGTAGGGAAGGGAAAGTTCCATCTTTTTGGTTGGTTTCCAGGAAAACGTCTAAGGCTTCGGAAAGAATTCTGCTAACAAAGCTGGGTCTAGTTTCCAGACACGAGCCTCAGCAGAGCCTGTAACTATTAGCAATAGTTACACTACAGCCTTCAGGATCTGAGATGGTTTCAGTGGGAGTGAACTGAACGTTTTTACCAATCAGTATAGCTGCTCCCCTTGTCCTGATGTCCTGATGTCCTCTGATGTCCTCTGATGTCCTCTGATGTCCTGATGTCCTGACGAACATGAGAGCCTAGAGAGCCTTTGATGATCGCAGTTACATAAGTGGGTCTCTTGAAGGAATATAACATCCTCTTTCAACTCCTTAATGTGGGAGAAAACCATCGCCCTCTTCACTGGTCCGTTCAATCCACTGACATCCTCCCACACACCTGTAGTTTTATTAGCCATATAGTTGAGTGGTAAGTAGATACACTATTAAATAAAGATGGAAAACAAATAACATTTGGTGTTAATATAAAGAAGAAAACATAACAAGTGATTCAGCTCATCATATTATTTAATAACTCACAACCACGAGGGGGCGCCACTGAGAGAAACTCTGCAGTTTATGATTTAAACAGCTGGAAGATTCAGATTCTCTTTTATATTCAGAACTGCTCTCATATACACTTATAGTATATATAGTTTATATCTTTTTATGTATTATATTAGATATTATATTTAATACAAATACCACACACAGCCCATTAAAGGGTAAAATCTGTTATCAGTATTGACATTTGCGTCTCCATCGAGCTCACGTTGAGGTCAGAGCTTCAGGATACACTGTAAAAAATAAACATTTTAAGGCAGCTGCCTTCACCAAATGTTTCAAGTCAAACTTTTAACTCTTGAAATTCAATTTAAAAGGTTTTGCTGACCTTTAATCTTTCCTTTTTTGTCCCTAATTTACTTTGTTAGAAAAAAAACTGAAAATTCTGTATTTTACTTTTTCAACTTACTATTATTGTAAAAACATTGAGCTGTGAACCAGAACTTTTATTATTTGGTGCTTTAAAAGGAATGCTTACAATTAAAAATATTAAATTATATATATCAATCAACATATCAATTATATGTATTAAATTATCAAATAAATTTTTGTTTGGTTTGTAAAAGTTAAAATTCACCGTTTTCTAAAGAGGAAAAGTAAATTATCATAATTATTAGTTTATTTTAAAACTTAATAGTTTGAATTTGTTTTACAGTGTAATGGGGACCTCTTGCAGATATTAGATTATATTGATTTAATCTATTTTTAGAATATTCATACGTCTACACAAAGTACTTTGGGAGATCAATAACGATGAGAAGAAACTATAATACTAATATTTCTTAATAAGAGAAACGTGTATTAATTAACTGGAATATTAGAACCCAGAGAATATTCTGTACGATGTGAAATGTGACAGGATGTGGGGGAAGTTATTGCTATAGATTATAGATATAGATATAGATCATCTCTGTATGAACTGAGGCTGTGATTGATTATTGGTATTAATCGGTGGAGAGGAGGCTGAACGTGTGTGTGTGTGTGTGTGTGTGTGTGTGTGTGTGTGTGTGTGTGTGTGTCTGTGTTATTGGATGTGTAAAATACACAGAGACCTCTTAATAATAATAATAATAATAAAAATAATAATAATAATAACTTGTGTGTGAATAAACTGGACTTCAGACAGAGTTAATTAATACAAAAGCACTTCAGTTCTTTATTAGCTAATATTACACAAAGCACCAAAAAGACAAGAGAGAGTTTATTAAACAACAGAATAAAAGCATGGTGTGTAACTACACATTATGTAATAACTACAAGTACTACTAATAATAATAACTGATCATAATAATAACATTTATCATCCAGAGAAGGTTTTGAGGAGAGGTCAGAAACAGACGTTAATAAATAAATACTTTAAAATAATAACTGACTTGTAAAAATACAGTAAATCTCCATAATTAAAGTAAACAGTTTTTAATCTAATTAAAGATATTTACAGTGTAAACAATGATCTATAAATCCAGGTGAACTCTGCTATAATACAATAATCAGACTAACATTTACAGCAGAGTGCTGTTATTATTGGATTGTTATTATTTTAATGTGAATGTTAAAAGTTATAGAAGTGTAATAAAAGTCATTATCTGTGAGATTCAGAATCAGAATCAGAAATACTTTAATAATCCCAGGGGGAAATTATTTTTGTTACAAATTCCAGATAAACAAACAACATCTATTAAGAACAAAACATAAATATATAAATATAGAAAAGATAAAACGTTCAGTTTAATAATGTGCAAAAAGTGCAGGAATGATTGTCAGTGTTTGAGTCAGGTTACAGAGGGGGGGGGGTCTGACTCTGACTCTCTGACTCTCTGAGGGAGGCAGTGTAAAGGCAGGAATGAGTTCCTGTGGCGCTCTGTGGTGGATCTGCTGAAGGTGCTCCTCTGCTGGGCCAGTGAGTCGCAGAGAGGGTGAGAGACTAATTATAATAATTATAATTATAAATAAGTAATTATCGCTGTTTCCACTGATAAACAACATTTAATAATAATAATAATAATAATAATAATAATAATAATAATAATAATAATAATAATAATAATAATGAGTCATTATAGAATAATATGAACAGTTTAATAAACAGTATTTTAACTCTTTCACTCATTTTACATTAAACATGTAAATTTACAGGATATTTCTGTAATATTCATTTATGACCCCCCCCCTCCTCCCCCCCTCTGGCTCACACAGGAACAAGATGGCGGCGGGAGGAGCGTTAGCTGCTCGACCACTCGTTGTCTGAGAGGCTGGAGGATCCGGCAGGATGAACCTCTGCGCCCAGTATTTACGGTAAGCTCGGTGCGGTATCAGCTGTGCGCGGCCCCGGCGGACAGGTGATACCGGAAGCGGTGGTTTTGGACCGACAGGTGAATTGTTTTGTTCGGTTGCTAACGCTAAAGCTAGCTGGTTTCGGGGACGCTGAATATGTTTTTTTCTCAGAGCGGTGAAGTCCCGCCCTACTCCGCCTCTGATTGGCTGGCGCCGATGGCCTTCATCGGTTTGATTGGTTAGGTTTAGGCACGAGGACTACGATTGGTCAGAATGTTCCGCCGGAGCCAATCAGAAGCAGCGGAGGGCGGGGTTACACAATATCGCGGGACCAGCCCCTCAGCTAGCTAAACGTTGGCGCTAGCTAGCTGCACATATCAACAAACAGTCGCTGCTAACAGGCTAACGCCACTGCACCGAGATATTAGAGATATTAGAGATATTAGAGATATTAGAGACATTAGAGATATTAGAGACATCAGAGACATCAGAGGTCTCAGAGAGAGAGGCGGTACCGGAGGCTCTGTGACGTACAGTGATCGATTACCCGCCACAGAGACGCGCTGTGTTATTGCTAGTTAGCTTTAGCTTGCTAGCGTCTTTCTGCGTATGTCAGTTAGCATCAGAGCCGCTGCCCCGGTTACCGGTTACACCCGGTAGCCAACCGGTAACCAACCGGTTACACCCGGTACGGTGTTCAACCGGCAGTGAGGCTGGATGCTAACAGGCTAACGGTGAGTTTGTGTGTATTCTTAGTCTGAGCCCGATATTAACAGTGATAGCCGTTAGCATGCTTACACTGTCTGTCTGTCTGTCTGTCTGTGGCTGTATCTGTCTGTCTGTGTGTCTGTCTGTGTGTCTGTGTGATGTGAGTCTGTCTGTCTGTCTGTCTGTGTGATGGAGCTGTCTGTCTGTGTGTCTGTGTGATGGAGCTGTCTGTCTGTCTGTCTGTGTGATGGAGCTGTCTGTCTGTCTGTCTGTGTGATGGAGCTGTCTGTCTGTCTGTCTGTCTGTCTGTGTGATGGAGCTGTCTAACCTCCTCTCTGTTTACATCCGAGCAGACAGGCAGAGGCCCTGAAGGCTGACATGACAGGTAGGTTTACACCATCACCTCCTCCAGCACCTGTACCACCATCACACCTGTACCACCATCACACCTGTACCACCATCACACCTGTACCACCATCACACCTGTACCAGCATCACACCTGTACCACCATCACACCTGTACCACCATCACACCTGTACCACCATCACACCTGTACCACCATCACACCTGTACCACCATCACACCTGTACCACCATCACACCTGTACCAGCATCACACCTGTACCACCATCACACCTGTACCAGCATCACACCTGTACCACCATCACACCTGTACCAGCATCACACCTGTACACTCCTCCAGGATTGTGCTTTGTCTGTGGGTTGATGCTGTAGAGCGGTCTGTAGAACGGTCTGTAGAGCGGTCTGTAGAGCGGTCTGTAGAACGGTCTGTAGAGCGGTCTGTAGAGCGGTCTGGAGAACGGTCTGTAGAGCGGTCTGTAGAGCGGTCTGTAGAACGGTCTGTAGAGCGGTCTGTAGAGCGGTCTGTAGAGCGGTCTGTAGAGCGGTCTGTAGAACGGTCTGTAGAACGGTCTGTAGAGCGGTCTGTAGTGCGGTCTGTAGAACGGTCTGTAGAACGGTCTGTAGAGCGGTCTGTAGAGCGGTCTGTAGAACGGTCTGTAGAGCGGTCTGTAGAGCGGTCTGTAGAACAGGGACATTGGTTAGAATAAATGAATCGATGTTGTGGAGGAGGACACCAGGTGATACGAGTGTTAGTGAGCGCGGTCCCGATGTCTCTGACAGGGATTTCTACAGACGAGAGCTCGTGTCATTTAAACCAACATGCACCGTTTAGATGAAGCTGTGTTTGCTGACAGACGGATGATATCTGGGGTAAACCAAAGGCTCCCACACCTGGGAACACCTGGAAACACCTGGAAACACCTGGAATTTATATCAACATCCACAGTTGGGATGAAGATGATCTCTGCAGACAACATGTGAATACAAGCCACAGAATAATGTTTGTGCCTTTAATCAGTCTGATTGGTTCAGTGTTATCTCTGTCGCTGCTGCTGTCACATTAGAAAAGCTTGAGGACTGTTAGTGTACAGACAACATGGTGACACATCTTTATATTGTTGGTTTTATAGTCCACGTTACGTTAAGTAGCTGTTAGTAGATTGACAGAACAAGAACGGGTTAATCTCTGAGTCACGCTGTGAAGGAATTCCCCTGCAGTGATTGAGGGAGGCTCAGCAGCCATTGTTGTGTTTTAGTTAATTACAGTGGGACATTGTTTAATGTCACTACCTGTTTGTACTGATCACCTGCTCTCTCCCTCCTCCTGTCGCTGTTAACTGGACACTTTCAGTCCAATACAGTCTCAGTTAAAGCTGTGGTGAGTCAGGATGATCAGTGTGAACCGCTGCTTCAGTGTTAATGGAATATTTGCTGTTTTATTGATTCCTGGGTGGACAAGCCAGGACAAAGACTGACTCTGAAAAACTGGGATAGACTTTTTCTTTTATTATTTTGACAGTTTATTAAACTTTTAATATATATAATAACCAGCAGATCAGTTGATGTTTGGTCAGAAGAGGCCTGGTCAATATAGAAACTGGTTTTATTGGTTTAATCTGGAGATTTAATTAGTTAAACTGTTTTACATCCTAATTAATGTGAGCTGTTGATGAATCCTCACAGAGCTTTGAGTTCTGGCCCCTCCGGCCTGCTGTCCTTCCTTTTACACCACACCAGCTGATTGCTGTGTTTTCCCACAGCTCTCTCTCTCGTTACCTGTTTTTACCGCCTGGTTAGGTTTTTAGAAGAGAGCAGCAGCTGGATACCTGCCAGAGCGTCTGCAGAGTCAGACCACAGGCCGAGCGCTCGCCGGCGGTCTGAGCTCTGATGTGGACGACTGATACCAATTAAATGCATCTCCACTCCAAACAGCCGCCGCAGCCTCTCCTCTGATCCTCAGACCTCTCCACATGTCCGTCACAGTTGTGTCTCCAGCTGCAGCCTGATGCTCAGATCAATAGATCCGTCTCAAACACATGGATTACAGTCACATGACTCAGCACATTATAAGGAGTCGTGGTAGCTGACACACACACACACACACACACACACACACACACACACGGTTATTCAAACCGTTGACAATAATTAATCCAATAATCAGGATTTTCTGTCACTGTGAGTTTAGTTTTTGGATTGTTGTAGCAGTCGACTGGTTTTTCAGTGGCTGATGCTGATTATAAAATGCTGTATATAAGCTATATATGCATCTATTGGAGCCAGTGCTGATGGATGCAATGCTTGTTAGGTTCCTTACTTTGAGTCTCTTTCCTCTGTGTGCGTTAGATTCGAAGCTCGGGGCGGCAGAGGTGTGGACGTCTCGACAGGCCCTGCAGGACCTGTACCAGAAGATGCTGGTGACCGACCTGGAGTACGCCCTGGACAAGAAGGTGGAGCAAGACCTGTAAGCTGCCCCCCCCCGTCCAGCACACACTTACACAGCTCGCTGTCAGAGATAGCAGAACTGAAGAACCCTGTGTACCTCGGTGCTGACGCTGTTTCTCTCTGTCCTCCTGCAGGTGGAACCATGCTTTTAAGAACCAGATCACCACGCTGCAGAGCCAGGCCAAGAACCGGGCCAACCCCAACCGCAGCGAGGTCCAGGCCAACCTGTCGCTGTTTCTGGAGGCCGCCAGTGGGTTCTACACACAGGTGGGATTTACATCTTATCAAACTGTTGTTATCTCAGCGTCCTCCAGTGTCTGTCCAACAGGGACAGGAATTCCTGTTTCAGGTGTTCTTAAAGGTATTTTAGAGTTTCCTGATAATCAATAAAAAATAGTTGATGACTCATCCTGCACTCAGGGGCGTTTTCTATTGCTGTGTCCAATCAAACGCAGCCTCCGAGGCTGACAGGGAATAACGTTACAGTACGGAATGTCTCCTTATATCAACAGTTACAATGCCTGCCAGCTCCTCAGTGCTCCTCTCACAACCTGTATAGAGCACTGATACCATAAACTGATACCATAAACATGGAGCTTCCTGTGGTTAACGCTGTGCACTCTCTGTTGTCTCCAGTTGCTGCAGGAGCTGTGCACCGTGTTCAACGTGGACCTGCCGTGTCGCGTCAAGTCGTCTCAGCTCGGCATCATCAGCAATAAACAGAGCAACACCGGCGCCATCGTCACCCCGCAGCCCAGCTCCTGCTCCTACATCTGCCAGCACTGCCTCGTCCACCTCGGAGACATAGGTGAGACAACGGTTAGATCCCAGAGCCGGCGGTGGAGGGAGATCTCCCGGCGCACTTTATTTCATCCTCCTCTCTGTCTTTCAGCACGTTACCGTAACCAGACCAGCCAGGCAGAGTCTTACTACCGACACGCAGCTCAGCTGGTCCCATCAAACGGTGAGTGTGACGTTGTTAATAAAGGGCAGGCACGTTCAAATCATAGCAGGTGATTGGATGAGCTTGAGTCAGATCAATGAACAATATAACACAGTCAGACTGTAACTGAAGCCGAAACAATAAACAATAATAATACAAATAATCAGTGAGATTTCCTCATCCTGTGTCACTGAGGAGTTTTATTCAGGTGATCAATAATACTTTATTGATCCCATTGATTATCATTGTTATTTATGTTCATTAAAACTTCATTAGTTTGCTTCCTAGAATGTTAAACCCAGAGCTAGAGAGTATTTTTATCTCCATGTGAAAAAGAGCTGCAACCATCATTTAGCTGCTCTCAGAGCTCTTAAAATTATCACTACTATTTTATTAATTGATTTGAGTAAATAAATTCTCTGATTTCAGCTTCTCAGATATAAATTGTCTGCTGTCTTCAGTGCTCTGACTGTTAACTGAATATCTGTGGACAATGTAAACGCCCTACTACCAATGTTCACCATTATCTAACGTTTTATGGATTAATGGAGATTAATCAATAATGAAAGTAATCACTACTGCAGCTTTAATGTGAAACCACTATCTCAGTATGTAACAGCACTGAGATTAGAGCAGCCATGTTTGTAGTTTCTCCTGCATTGGTGGTGTGATGCTCTTCTGCGCCCCCTGCAGGTCAGCCGTACAACCAGCTGGCCATCCTGGCCTCGTCTAAGGGAGACCACCTCACCACCATCTTCTACTACTGCCGCAGCATCGCAGTGAAGTTCCCCTTCCCAGCAGCCTCCACCAACCTGCAGAAGGCCCTGTCCAAGGCTCTGGAGAGGTAACGCCACCCACAGGAAACAGTTCTACACAATAATCCTTAAACAGTTGAGTGACTCAGATGATTTTCTTCTGTATAAAATCCTCCGTCTGTCTGCCTGCAGCCGCGATGAGGTGAAAACCAAGTGGAGCGTGTCGGATTTCATCAGGGCCTTCATCAAGTTCCACGGTCACGTCTACCTGAGCAAGAGTTTGGACAAACTGGACGCTCTCAGGGAGAAACTGGAGGAGCAGTTTCAGGTAAAACAAAACGACACTTGGCAGAGTCAACGCTGTCTGATTTCTAAAGCCTGCATCATGTGACAGCTGACTGTGTGTGTGTGTGTGTGCAGAGGCTGATCTTGCAGAAAGCCTTCAGCTCTCAACAGCTGGTCCACATCACTGTCATCAACCTGTTTGAGCTGCACCACCTCAGAGACCTGACAGCCGACGGCGGCGAGCAGAGCTACAGCAGCGAGCAGCAGATCAGCTGGTTCCAGCTGCTCGGACTCTTCAGTAAGAACAACAACTCGTTATTCTCTGGAATGAAATGGAAGAAAGTTTCACTTCACTTTGTAATAAGCAGCTGAACTAAGTATCTTTCACACATTGTTAAACCCACTATCTCACATTATGGTTCAATGTTGGAGTTGCACTGTATCTTGAATCAGCTGAAGCTTTTAGTCTTTTTACGAAGCTCTGTTAAAGGACCATTGCAGTTTTTTCCAGGTTGGCATTTGACATAAAAAGATTGTCTGTATTTGTAAGCTGATAACAAGTTGATCTTGTTATGAATGATGGCATACCGACAGGGTTATCAGTCTACAGTAGTCAACTAATATGAATGAAATAAAGTGTGAATGTGTGTGAATGGCTGTTGACTGATGGTCGGTTGTTCATTGTGTGACTTCCTGTCCTCCTCAGTGTCCTTCCTGGGCGTCATGTGCAGCCGCGCTCTGCTCAACAAGAACCGGGGGGAGGAGATCATGGGGGAGTGTCCTCTGCCGGCCATTAAGGTTTCTCTGGACTGGCTCAAACTGAGACCCAGCGTCTTCCTTGAGGCCGCTGTGGACAAGAGGCAGCAGTAAGTTCTTCTTCTTCTTTTGTCTTTCTTTCAGTTCTGCTGTTTAAAATGTGTTTGAGGAACTTGTCTTCCTGTCCCTCAGTGTCTGGCCCTGGCTGGTCTCCATCCTCAACAGTTTCCAGCCCAAAGAGGACGACGTGTCCTGTTCCTCAGGTAGGACGTTGGTTCTTTATTTAGTTCACTGATCAATATGAGCTCTGATCTCTTCAGGTTGCCGGGTTTCAGAATAGTGGAACAAATTATTCTGTTTATTATCACAGTGTTCCCTTCAGAATAAAAGCTGCCCTGCATGTGGACTTCTGTCCTGCAGCATCTCGGGGACACTTTTAATTTCCCAGGAAGCTCTTTTACGTGTCTGCACATGTTTCCACCTTCAGTCCACACTGACTCTGATTACTACCCCTCAACATTAGGATATCTTTAACAAAGCACCCAGGATCCAATGAGTTTGAAAACGATTAGAGATTGATATCAACCTCCCAGACACGTCGAGTTCTTCTCCTTAGTGCCGTTGTTCAGAAGATCACCTTTGGTCATAAAATCCAGCTGTTGTGATCAGATGGTGGCAGTCAGGAAGGAAGAAGAGCTTTAATGGTTAGACTTTACAGATGTTCTCAGACTATCAGAATCTTTTCGTTCTCAGAAGTCGGGTAAAAGTTCTCAAATCGCTCTGATATTGAGCCACACTGCTAGTACTGAATATTACCACTAGGTGTCACATGTGACTGACCTGCTGCTGAGTGGAACACAGTGACAGTGACAGTGAATGAGAGTGGACACGAGTGGACCAATACGAGTTACTCACCTTTTAACTAAAGCTACCTCGCTAACAGCAAACAGTGAGGGACGGTCGTCAGGGATTATAGGGTCATATTAGAGCTACAGTTGTATAATAAATATTATATTTTGGTTGATTCTTTATTTTATTTTTAATTGGAAGGATGTAACCACAACCTCTCTAAGGAATGGGAACATAAAGCACAATGTTTTCAGCAAACATTCATACATAGCTGTGTTTTATATCATAAATTGAGCCAATAATAAATAAATAAATAAATAATGTTTTCAAGCTGAAGGTGTGTTTATTTTCTCTTCAGTGACGCCCCTGCCTGAGGAGTTTGAGTTGCAGGGTTTCTTGGCGCTCCGGCCCGCTCTGAGGTACGGCACACCTTCATTCAGTGCTGGGATAAATGTTCAGTATTAACAAAAGTGTTCATCAGATCAGTCAGAATGTTTCCATGTTTTAACGTCTGTTGGTGTTTCAGGTCCCTGGATTTCACTAAAGGTCATCAGGGCATCCTGGTGGACAGGGACGGCCTGCCGGTCCACACTCGGCATCAGAGACTCATCAGTCTGGGCAAATGGGTGGCCGACAACCACCCGGGGTGAGTGTTTGCTGTCACTGCGTCCCTCAGCCTCTGCAACAGCAGAAAAACAAACATATATACTAAATAACTTTGTGCATTAGAATACAAACACTGTGGACGTCTGTAATGTTACTGTGTCCCAGGTGAGACATCAGAGCTCTGGAATACTAATATATCAGTGTGGAGAACTCTGAGTCTCTTCAGAGGTCAGAGGACATCGGTACATGATCTCTGTCTCCTCTCCGCAGGCTGATCCAGTGCAGAGTGAGTGAGGACGGCCTCCTCGTCTTCATCACCGACATTCCAGAGCAGGCCATCGAGGAGCCGCAGGAGAAGGAGGCGCCGGTGCTGCAGGAGTCGTCCAACGGCGAGCAGACGGCCAACGACGGTGGGAACTCCGGCCTGAAGTCGGTGCTGTCAGCGGGGAAGACGCAGAGCTCGTGGCCCGACAGCAGCGACCGACCCGTCGTCACCTTCAAGGAGAACATCAAACCCCGGGAGCAGAGCCGCGAGCCGACACGGAACCACCACCTGAAGGACAGCGGCAAAGAGCGCCGGGACTTTGCCAAAGGCAACGGGGCTGCTGGGAAAGGAGAGCTGAAGAGGGACGGGAAGAGGAAGAGTGAGCTGAAGAAAGCCGGACATGAGAAAAGCAGCGATGCTGGAAAACAGGTGCAGACATCGGACCTCATCGTCGACAGTCACAATATTGTAACGAGGACTCGCGTTGAACCGTTGTCGTTGTTTTCTGTCGCTCAGGTGAAGGCGCAGACGGAGCTGAGGAAGACTCCGGTCTCTGAGGTGAAGAAGACTCCTGTCACTCAAACTCAAACCACCTGCTCCTCCCAGTTCATCCCCATCCATCATCCTGGAGCCTTCCCACCACTGCCCAGCAGACCTGGTACGAGTTCTCGGCTTCATTCCCCGTATAAAGTGCTCAGCGTTACCTTCGCAGGACAAAAGAGAATGTTTCAGTCACACAGCGCTCTGATGTTACAGGAGTCAGACGGATGTTAGTTTACGTGCAGGGTAGAGATTTTCTTCCAGCTGATACAATAACAAATAATTTAACATTTTTGTAGATTTTACACACCTGAGGGTGAGACAGGCTGAGATCAGAGAGGGATAACCTATCAATCAATTTCATAAGAGTTCTAAATAAATCATTATTATTATTATTATTATTATTATTATTATTATTATTAATCCGCTGTAATTTATTTTATAGGGACAATTTATAACAATATAAATGTCTCATTATGGTCTGATAATTATTGTACAACCGTAGTAAAGTTGTCTTTAAATTTCTCTTTGTAAAATGTTTTATCATCTTGAGAAGAATACAGCTGAACCTTTTAAGGTCTCTTTTAATCTGCTCAGTAGTTTGAGGGTTCCCACGCGTCCTGGAAAACTTTCTGGAAAACACATTGAAAATGAGAGGAAGATTATTTCAACATTCTTGTATTTTCCTTTAGCTCCGAATGAGCCACGAGGCTTTCTGACGGAGCTCCACACAACCTCAGTGGTAGCTCACAGTGGGTGTGATTAAAAGACTCCAGTTAATATTACTGGTAAAGTATGGTGGTAAACTGATGAGTCAGGGACAGTTAATAGCATTTTGGATTGTACGTTTAGGTAAGTTCAGTCTGCTATTTGTTGTTGGTGTTCAGGTATTAATGGCAAATATAATTCATTAGCTTTTAAATGAATAAATCTGATAATTGCCAAACATAGAGCACAAAGAGATTCCCAAAAGAAACTAAATTAAATACATTTATGTAATAATTTAAATAAATAATGACAATAATAAAACAGGTCACAACCCTATCCCTTCTAATTAGAGGAGTGAGTGAAACAGATGTTAGAGTAAGACCTGATGGGAACTTGAGTTTATTCATATGTCAGACATAAGGAGGAAGCAGCCACATAATAAATCATTTATAAGTAAGGTACAGTCGGTTTTAATTCTGCTCCTGATCGGTTCCCCAGCAGGTTTCCCCCCCTCCGCCTACGTGATCCCTCCCCCGGTGGCATTTCCGGGGCTTCAGGTGAATCCGGGCTTCACTTTCTCCACCGGCGTGTCCGTCCCCGGACCTTTCCTCCAGCCCGGCGTCCACACCCAGGCCGGCAATCAGGCCGGGAAGCAGTCCCACATTCCCTACAGTCAGCAGAGGCCCTCCGGTCCCGGTCCAGGTCAGGGGCCAGGATCCACGGGCCAGGGCCCCGGACCCATGAACCAGGGGCCCTCGCAGGGTCAGCAGCCACAGACCCAGCCGCCCTCCCAGCAGGCCTTGCAACAGTCGGTCCAGCTGCAGGTGCAGGCGATGAGCCAGCAGCAGCAGTCTCCCACCAAGCCGGGTCAGCAGGTCGGGATGGGCAAGAGTCCGCCTCACCACCCGGGACTCCAGCAGGTCAGTAGTCCCAAAACCTCCACCAGTTAGAGGGCAGCCAACTGAAGCCTGAGAGGCAGAACCCAGGGTGTTAAAGTCCACAAAGCAGTCAGTGAGGCTCAGTTAGTTCCTGTCCGTCAACAGTAAAACCATAACGTTAACCGAGGGCTGAACAGGAAGTTAGCCGCTCTAGTTTGGAGTCTGTACGCTCATACAGCCCGTCAGTGATTACATTTACTGTTGTTGATGATGATTAATTGTACAACTGTTTCTACCTCTACCTTCTTTTATTTAGGTAAAATAGGTTAGAAGATGACTTTCCTGTAAACAACATAAATTCTGCTTGATTTAGAACTTATTCAAGTTATTTATTATTTATTTTGGCTAAATTAGTGCTGGAGTTGAAGGGAAACTGTAGGCAGCCAAACCAAGTTAATGTGGAGCCTCTATGGTCAGGAGAGACTCCTGGAAGAGGTTTTCTTAAAGAGTGAGAACCCTAAAAAAGCTTGAGCAACTTCCTTCCCATGAGTAAACTACAGTGTGAGTGTTAACAGATCCATTCACATACAGTGTATATATACAATACAATATCAGCAGATTGTCTCTTTAACAGTCTTTATTGAGCGTCTGACGGGTGTGAAACTGCTATTAAACATCAAGAACATGCTGAACGCCACCCGGCACGCCACCTCCGATGAGACGTTCACTGTCTTTGTGTGTCCGGTCTCAGCAGTACATGCAGGTCCAGGATCAGCCGGTGCAGATGTGGAACCAGGCTCAGGCTGCCCTGCAGAAGATTTCTCCCATGCAGATGTCCATGAAGCCACCTCAGCAGCAGCAGCAGGCCTTCTACATGGCGGCCCAGGACCCCCTCAAACTGTACGAGCACCAGCTGCAGCCCCCCAGCATGGACAAGAAGATCAAGTACCCCAACGTCAAGATGCAGGACTTCTACTGGGAGCCGTCCTACAGGATAGGGGACGGCCTGGCTGTGATGGCAGACAGGATGAAGAGGCCTCCGCCGGGTGGTATCTGTCCCGAGCAGGACCCCTCTGCTGGGCCCCGGGGACCCCCGTTTGAGGTGAGCAGTGAGAAGGAGGAGGAGGTGGAGGAGGTCCTGCTCCTTTTCTCTCTCTATGCTTCTTTGTCGCTTCTTTTCCTGCTCACTTCTTTTCCTCTTTGTCTGTTTTGTGATGGGGAGATGGACCTAAACTTTAATCCAAACTGCTGTTGTCACATTTGATCTGTGATCATTTAGTGGAGGAAGCAGAGGAAGAGTTCCTGTTGTAATATCTCTCTCTGTGTTCTGTGTGAGGTTCAGCTTTCAGCCTTCTGCAGCTTTTAGCTTAACTCCCCTTCTTTCCACCTCTGTCTTACTGGCTTGCCTTCTGTCTTTTTCTCTTCTTTTTTTACCCCTCTATCTATCTTCTTCTTCTTCCTCCTGTTGTTCCTCTTCTTGCTTCCTCTCTCACTAGGACAACAAGCCTCTTCTACCTCCTGACCTGTTAAAAACTCTAGCAGATTTTGAGGAGGAGGAGGAGCTCGTCTTTACTAAGCCTCCTGATTTCTTCCAGGCCCTGGCCGGCCCCCTTAGCTCTGCTCCTGGACCAAACATATTTGTATGTAGCCCTGTCTTCTGCCTCCAACCCCTCAACATCTAGTCCCATCCAGACCTAAAGCCACACTCTGCTCATCATTCACACCTTGTGTTATTATTATTATTATTATCGTTATTATTTATTATTATAATTATTTATTATAATAATGAATAATAATTATTATTATAATAATACTTATTATTATTATTTATTGTTATTATAATAATGATACTTATTATTATTATTATTATTATTTATTGTTATTAAAATGCTAATAGTATTTGAGTCCCTCACTCAGATTTAGTTTGAAACTCGACCGTTGTTAGTGGAAACCTGTCCGTTAACACACTGAGAGCTCTTATAGTGGTTAATAAATAAACTCAGTGATGGTAACTGGTAAATGTATGTAATAGGCAGACAGGTTGAGGAGATTAATTCTCTTTAATTTAAATAAATTCTACTTCATTTGAACTCATTGGCTAAAGTAATGTTACAGTGAGAGTCATTGAACCTTTATTAACACAGCACAGACCCTGAAACTGAAGTCATACAGCAGCTGTCTGTCTGTCCTCAACCCGTCTGTCCTTCCTCTCCACAGCTGCCCAACCAGACCCGTATGGAGAGCGGCCCCGAGGTCGTCGGCCAGTCATCTTCTCTCC